TTTCATAAAACCGAGCCCAAAAAATTGTGAATTCTCTGAAATATGTGAAAGATGCCGACTTTTTGAATCAAAGACTTTTATACCATACGAAATCTCTTCAAAAAGTGTTGTTAACTATATTTCAAAGATGTTTTAAACACCTTTATAAAATCTTTTGAAAACACTTTTTAAACATTCCAAGCGCGAATCTTACTTTAAGTTTTCACACATCTTGAACAAAACAAGACATGCTTTAGTTCTTTTTGTCAAACCTTATTCTTCAATAAAAACGTCCGAGGAAGAAGAGTATACACGAACGTGTGTAAAATGAAAGCGTTAGATTTCTAAAATATTATAATGGTTATAAACTTCTTTCATGCTGTAACTAACGAACATAACTCAACTACCGATTAAAGATAGGCAACTCACCCGTAATCGGTTCGCTATTTCGGCGAAATCAGGCGGCCGCTTGCCCGTTTGTCAACTTTAAAAAAAATTACAAAATCAGTTACATTTCTCAAAATTAATTTCTGAAAATATTTATAATACGATTATTAAAAAATCGCAAATTTTAATTAAAAAAATACTTATTTCTTAATTAAAATTGTAATTATATTTACTTTATAACAATTTTTTCGAAAGTTAAATGTACTGTGTTAATACTATTTCAGTTATTAGTTTCATTCTTTAGTTTTTTAATTACTAATCCTCTTTATCTTTTATACTTTTTATTTGTCTGTTAGAAAAGCAATTATTTTTTACTTTTTTAAACTAAATTGGATATATAAATTGTACAAACTTTTGCAGTGAATTTTGCGGCAATGAGATTTAAAAACCAAATATATTAATAGTCACCAACCATGGCGACTCGTAAGAAAAAACTCAAGCTACCCGGCATAAAATCGCCGGTGTGTAGCAGCCGCGCCGAAACTGTGAGTGAACGCATGTTACTTCAACAAGTAGATCGATGTAATTAGACGTCATATTTTCTACATTTGCGTATTTATAATATCTTTAATATGCTGTAGAGCTGCACCAAGCTTAACTTCAGCCGGCAATTTTGCATTTCAATAATTATATTTGTTGATTTAAAAAAAATACTCACCTCTATGAATATCACTCAGTCGAAGTATTCTAATCTAGATCAGTCGCTTATATCTGTTCTATCGTTTAGTCCACATTAGGTCACAATGGAATTGACGTTTGTATTATTAGGTAAACATATTTTAGAAACAGATGACCTACAAAAGTGACAAAATTTTTGTAAATGTAACATTTTGCTGACTGTACATTCAAACTCACATACATAAGACGTATATAGGCAAAAACTGTACCCTCTTGAGTCAGTCAGGTATAAAAGCCAGGCGACCACTTGAGTTTTTCCGCCGCGTAATGAACAACATTTTTATTTCATCAAACTTCGTAACATTGGTACATTAAGACTTACTTAGGTTTTACACATGTGTTGTTACGCGTCGCATTCTGAAATGTAAGTGGGGATCAAACCAAACCTGGTGATTTATCAAACATTAAATTACATTCAAAGATATGAGAATAATACTAGACAACAATATTATAAAACAAATAAACATTAGGGGTACACAAACCGCTGATTGGTCTGAAAAATCATGAGATGATTTTTTCTTTTTTAGTTTTCATCATTTAATTTGAATGAAGAACATTAATAAAATGTTTTTTTTTTTATTTAAGCTTTAGCAAAAAAGATTCATATTTTATGTGGCTTATATTTGAATCTATGGCATGCTGGCATAATGTAGATTGTATCAACTTTGTATTGCTTCTATTGTTTAATCTCACTATAGTATTAATAACAGACAGAAGAATAAAGAGAAGACATGTACGCACAATGTATTACTTGTTTTTAAAACACCAATATCCTTAAGGTACGGATTTTCAATCACGTAGTCGAGAGACTATTCTCGTAGACCATGTTAGCACAAGGCTAGAGTTTACATCAAATGGTACAAGAAATATTAGTAAACTGACTAAAATTCACTAAAAAAAATTTTGTCTGTATTATTATGCTATATAGATATCAAAACATGAAATAGTATGGATTTATAATGGCAGTAATAACTCGAGCGCTGTGCGATTGCTAACACCAGTTGATGGAAATAATTTAATAGTGCACACGTTTATTTTGGTAACAAAACGCCCTTCGGACTGAAGTTTTCAGTCAACGCCGGTCCGAAACTTACTTAATCGGATTATTTAAAAGATAATAAGACTATACTTAAAATTAACTTAAATGACAATTTATAAGGCAGTTAAAGTTAATATTTTTATATTATCAACGTGTTTAGAATATTGCTTGTTTCGTGTCATCTGTCATCAACTTAATAAACTCTCCCCTAATAACTCGTCAACGATTCGCAAATTTTGTGTTGTTAAATAGCAACGTTATTTGATCCTAATACTTAATCAAGCGTTAAGGACTAATGCTAATCGATTTAATGCTTCATAATACGAAACAAAAAATATATTTACAATGTATAAACACTTTTGTCGTAATATAAAATTCAGATCAGAATTATTAGTTTAACTAAGCATGAAAAGAAAGTTAAGAAATTTTCTAAATTAACAACTGATTACAGTAATTCAATAAAGCTCCAAATATAAAAAAGAAAAGTAAAAAATATTACACAGCAGAAAAATTTTTAGGTTGTTTAATTTTATTTGACTGACTTACAAACAAAATAAGTTAAAGTAATAGGATCTTTTTAAATGAACTTAAAATTAGTTAATTAACAAAGTTTAAAAACAACTTAATAAAAGTGGACACACCAATCCTAACCAAAATAATTAATTGCTTTACAATTTTGAATCCTCCTCCGCGACAATTTCGAAAACTGGTTTGTGATTTTAAAAAATACATAAAACTTTTATCAAGTTCTAACCGCTTCCTACACAGAACGATTTAGTTTACGATTTAGATCTTACAAAAGAATTTATAGATATAGGTTATTTAAAGATTTTGCGCTAAGCAAATGACAGAAATAATACATGACTACATTCAAAAAAGAAAGGTAACACATAGTTAAATATACTTTTAAATATTCACATTAACTTTTAATAAAGGACAAAGCATAAAAGAAAATACAATAACAAAGACGCGTTAAGCAAAGCTTAAAAGGCAAAGTCATGGTCAACGAACGTTGACAAAATCTCAATGATACTTATAAACAATAGGTTGAGATATAAAGAAGCTATAAATATCCGAGGGGTCATATACTTAATAATAAAGTATGTACTCCCAGTAAGCGGAATTAATTTATAATTACATTTTTCAATCAGGATAGACCCTTTTTCATTTCCCAGTAATATAATACCTTGCGTACTCTCTATATTGCAAGTTCAAGATGGTCGTCGCCACAAAATGGCGTACGAAAAAAATACTTTTGTAGAAACCAACCAACATGGGTATTAAATGAAAGGGCTTGACTAGTACAGTATCACTATAAAAATATCTAAGATGGCCACTACAAAAAAATGTAGGTTGGCATAATTCAAGTCAGATAAATGAAGACTAAGTATTAAAAAATATACAATAAGGTATTGACTTAAAATATTTTTTTTATTAATGCTACTTTTTATAGGCGGCACGTTATTTAAATAATTTCGTTTCGCAAAAACATGGAAGCTTCTATAGTGAATTGATGTTTAATTTACTTTATTCTAATTTTTCGGATCACGGTCACACTTTATGGGAACAGTGAATTCACCTTAACAAATTAATTTTATTCTATTATTTTGTAAATGTTTGTTAATTCATCGTCAAGAATATTAAGAGTAGGTATACAAAGCTATTAAATTTTATTTCAACTTCATTTCTCCCCTGCCTCAATTTCAATATGCGGCAACGTTTTAAAAGTGCTTTTAGTGTTTTATTATTGACGTGACTCTGATGTCAGGGTATAGCGCGATTTCAATTAAATTTGTGGTGCATAAAAACGTATGTTTACCGCGAGCACAACCTTACGATACAACAAATGTCAAATACAAAGGCCACTGATGTAAGGTCAACATTTGTAACCCGAAGCCTAACGTGAATCTAAAAAAGGGTATGTTGTTCGCAAAGAGAACGTTACCTCTTTGTGAAACTTTTCGTAATTACTTTCAGGAAACTTTATAATTGCTTGTAGATACTAAAATGGATCTGAGAATAGAATCACGCAACATTTCCATTATTTCAAATCATGGTTGCCTCAGAAACTTAATTTCTTACGTTAAGTAAAGATAATTCATAATTATAACACGATTGATTATTTTCTTACCAGATATATTAATTCGAATAAAGAACCTATGGTTCTGTTGACATCAACTTTAGTTATATTTAGATGGCTATCTAAGGGGAAGGTAATATGAATGTCGTAGCTAAATCTTAAAATAGGGGACTTTATGAAATAGCCGGCAAATTATTAATTTTTATCAACTATGTCATTATGCCAATCAACGTTTGGCCATAAAATATTCTTCAAAGGTATAAAAATAAAATTGAATTTTCGGACCACTTAATTTTTATGTTCAATTAGCACATCATTATAAGTTTTTCTAATCATAATCATAGTTCGCAACAAACTAAGCAATTTTGGAAAAAGAAGGTTATGTTTAATTTCCATATTTATCTTTTCACATCGTTCGGAAAAACTGCTTATTAGTATGCATGAATTAAGTGCCCGCTGATCAGGTACGTATTTTTAAGAATAAATTCAGGTATCTCGTGTTCTATTTGACGTAGTTTAGTTTTGATGTGCTTATTTTAAACTGAATTATGACGATCTAGAATGCTGCTGTCATTTACCATCATTGTTGTATGAATATGAAATACTTTTCGGTGGACAGACAAGACAGACAAATACACAAGCAAATTAACTAGTAACGTGACTCATATTTATTTATTTATTTATTTGAGTATTTGAGTCAGTCCCCATGGAATAAACATACTGGACTGGTCTTAGAAATATAAATAAATGTTATTTATCCATATTTTATGTTATTAGCCAAATTTCGAGCTAGAAGCCAAGCTCGATGACTTCACGTTGCACGGGGTACCGCCTCTTCATGGCTTCGCGGCTGTCACCCTCCCAGACCAGTCTCTGGAGTACCTGCATTGGGCCGAACGGCCTGATGAAATGCACCAGTATTACGCGAAATGTAAGTATTAAAAATGGATTATATTTTTTTGAATTTATGCTATAATTAGGTGCCGAACAAAGGAAATATGGAAGGATTGTGTGGAAAAGGATGTAATTAAACAGTAACAGAACAGTCTCCCGCGCAAAAAACTTCTGCACCGATTTAAATGAAATTTAATAAAGAGTAACTTAGGCTACATTTGTTTTAGAAAAAATCTTTAATTTTACAAATTAAGTAATGTTGCAATTTCCAAGTACTGTACAGTACCGCACGCTGCTCGAAGACAGCATTTCACGCGGACGAAGTCGCGGGCACAGCTAGTACTTAATATATCTTTATATAATGGTAGTAACATTTATACTTTGGCCTTTGAAATACTATTTCGTACTTTCATAACAATTTTTTAAGAGTTTGAACGAGAAAGCTTCACATCCGAAATAAATTAAACGCAAACACCATCAAGAGGAAACAGATTTAAAAGTGTTTGTTTAACTATGTGTTCATGTAAGTGTACACACGAATGAAACATGTTTATAACTTTAAAGATATTTGTATGCGAATCTGTATTTTTGTTTGACGTAATGTTTCAAAACTTTATTTAAAGTCATACAAATAGTACGTGTCGGTTTGTAACATGTGTGTGCGCGAGCAATCAGTGAACTTTTGAGTTCGATACGAAGTTTATTCGTGCGTTAATTCTGTAAATTAGTCTGTGGCATAACATTTTTTGTTGACTGCACTTGAACTCATAGGTTTGAAAAATGGCTTTCCGTCTATTCGACGGATCAATCCCATCAAATAAATGGTAAAAGAATTAAATTCCCCACCCACTTACGAAAGATACAGAAATTATAAGTGCATTAGCATTTATCATACTTAATTTGCTAGTTTTTAAAGCGTCATACAATAGTTTGGTGGGTAGGGAATAAAGTGCCCCGACTCGAAAATTTTTATGTGTGTAAGCGAAAATGTTATATGTATATATTAGCGGAGATCGGTCAAGAAAAAATCATAATACCTGAATACCTTTTAATGCCGAAGGCACTACTTTCATAAGAACAGGCTTCACAGTCACCAAGGCTAACTACACAAAGAGACATTGATACCAAGCTCTTCCCCCATCTCGTAATAAATACGCTATCGTTTAAAATGAAATTTCTCTTACGCTTTGAGTGATTAATTTGTAGGAATTCCGCAATTTGGTGCTTAAGTGCCTTTCTTTGTGTATGCCCTTTTCTGTGGTCCAATTTTTTTTCCTTTTTAAAGGTGATTAGCAAAATTAAGTTGATTGAGTACAAGTTGGAAGTTTTGAAAATTTTCAACTCAAAACTCTAGTAATATTTACATCGAAAAGAAATTTAATATGAAATAAATATTACTAAAATTAGTAAGATTCAGTGTGGGTAATAAAGTTTGTCGCATTGGACCTCGAGTAGTCCCAACTTTGACGAGAAATTCTCATTTTTTTTTCGTAGACCCTTCTTAAATTTTCACTGCTTTCGGTGCTGCTGCATTTGTTTTTCAACCTCTGAACAGCTAATTTCTTTTCAACCATGATACACCACAGCATGTCCTTTGTACCCCTAAATCATTTTCGGAATAATTGCAGTAACATCAACAAGTAACGCTATATTTAAGCTAATTTTTCTTCAATATAATATTATTTTGTCATCGTTGACGCTCAATTTAACTTCACATCGATCAAATTGAGACATATTTTCGTACAATCAATATCACCCAATATGAGATTCGCGGGTTTTTACGATGGATATAATGCACAACAGTGCCTGTTTATAAATAGAGTACTACTGATATTATGATCGTGCATAAAACTTCCATTTGTCTAAGTAATCCACACACACCTCATAGTCTAAGCAGTATTTAGCAAAAATTTGGTTAAAACTCATATCTTTACGTTTATCTAAGATAAGCGATAGTGTTAAAACAATAGATCAAGACAATTTAAAGTTATAATACTTTATGAAAGAAAAGTGACACACTTTATTTATCTTATTAACATCTTCTAAAAAAAATATACAATATCGTAGATATTCGTAGTACCCTTGTAGGACTCGACCAGTCAAAGTACCTGTACAAAGCAACCCAAAGGCTCCCTTACAAATAATCCATCTTTCGTCCACAACAACCAGCCCTTATCATTCTTTATTATGCGCCTCACCAAACAAATTAGAAATACATATTAAAAAAATCTTACCTTCTATAGTACCGTCTTATATATGAGTATTCTTAGTTTATAGCAAAAGTATTACTGCGGTTTTTCACCGACAAAACATATTCACAAACAAATTGTCATCCCACTCATTGTATTTGAAATCGTCGTAGATAACGATACGTTTATGCAATTTTTCGGCAATGGAAACACACACTTACATGAATACTCGTTGTACAGGTAATTTGCCACCGTCCGAGGAGTCACGACAAGCCGTTATACGCGAGCTTGTCAACACGGAGGCGGATTACATTAGGCACCTCAAATCTCTTGTTGAGGTAAGTTCTACTATTATTAAAATGCCTTTTAATGTTAAAATTAAATATCAGATTAAAAACAACGATTCAAGCAAAACAAGTCTATCAGTAAGTCTAAAGGTGATGCTATTCAAATAACATTTTCAATCATATTAAGCATTAAAATTGGTTACGGTTAGGGTTTTGGTACCACTTAACCGTGACTCTTCCGTGCCTTTACACACATATTTTTTGCAGCGGCCAACTGACCTGTTTGTTTACGACTGCTTTTATAGCATTTTTTATTCAGCCTATTGCGAACTCCATTAACTATTGTACAGCAAACAAAGGCAAAATTTAGGTAATCTAAATGTGAGCACAATATAATATCCAAATACGGTGGGTCTCCACTGTCGTAGCGTCTGTGTAGATACAATACTCCCGTTGATCTTCATTAGCTTTGGAAAAAAAGAAATAACAGTAGAGTTCTTATATCCATGTGCTACGACAATAGAAATACACGATCATAACTTCCAATTTATATCCATAATAAATTAAAGTACACGTTTCATTTTGCATTGTTTTAAAGCAGTACCGTAATTATTAAAAACACATTACAATACAACATAACAGACACATCGCTTGAGTAAAAATACAGACTGGAGAGAAAAAAACTGTACGACATTCAATGCTCTGCTTTTTGCGCCACTTAATTACTTGACTTTCTACTTATCCGTGCTCAATAGCAAGAAATACAGCAACTTAACATCAGCTACGCTTTATATTAAAAAGTCGAATGTTGAGTCACTAAATAGACAGAACAGATTTGGATATAATTTAGTACGATTCGTCGAAATTTTTTTTTTTACGGTAATTAATAAAGCGTTTAATTAAACGACTGTACAAATCAATAGCTTTAATTTTCAAATTATACTTAACTGGTTGCTAAACACCCATTCTGTTTAGTCTAGAGGCATTAAATCATATTTTACACATTCAATTAAAGTAAAATAGCGTATCTCTCAAACGTAAATTAAAAGTCGATGTCCTAAAGAAGCGGAAGCAGGCTACTTAAATATGCAATTTTTCCTTTAAATACTTAGTGATTAGTATAATTTTGAAATTTAGAAAATACCATTGAAGGGCAATTTTTCAGGTGTTTATGGCGGCAGCGCACGCTCTTCAAGAATCTAATTTTATGCTAGACGTGGATACACAACGACTCTTTTCAAATATTCCGGACTTGTATAATGCCAGCCTTGAGTTCTGGGACGCCACTTTCTACCCTATGATCTTGGAGAGTGTAGAAACTGGTGGACCGTAAGTTATTATTTAAAATACATCTTTTAAGTTAAGTAAATAGTAAAGCAGATGATATTGTTTTGTTGTACCTTAAATAAATATGTATATTTAAAACCCTGAATACTAAAATAACGTCTTAATAATCTAAAGGGAAACATTAATTAGAAACAAACTGTGTTCAACGGATGGAGACATTTGATATCCTCTTTCCCTTACCACCCTTTTCCTTATAAGGAAAGGATGGGAAGTGGAAGTGGACTTTCCGAATGAGAGGATGCATGGGAAGGGAAATTATTTTCTTTCTGTGCATCCTCTCCTCCGACGATTAAAGGTAGGCAACGCATATGTATTTGCGTATGTCGCGGAGCGATTTCAGGTGGCCGCTCGCTCGTTATCACCTTATGATATAAAAAAATGTTACTTTGCAAGGATCAAATAGTTTACAAATCACATATACCAATGATATTCCAGATTAAATCCAGAGCTGATGTATGAAGGTTTTCACAACATCGATGAATACTTACAATCATACGAGATATATTTGATGGACCAATCAAGAGCCGTTGAATATCTTCGATCTCTCTCTAGTAATACGGAATTCATGTCATATCTATCATGGTGTCATAAACAGAAGGAGATCAACCGGTAAGTAAAGATTTTTTTAATCAGGTAAATAAATAAAATGAAAAAATATACATTTTAGAGGTTTATTTTATACAATTTGTTTCTTTTTTTTTTACAAATAATAGTCAATTTAAAATTTATAAGTAATAAGACTTTTTGCTTATTAATGTTGATTATTTCAGACTCCAACTGGCAGACATGCTGGCAAAACCAATGCAACGTATTACTAAATATTCATTAATTATAAACCGAATACACCATTACACTGAAAAAGACACGGCACGCGAACTTATTATTTCTATGGTAAGTTTTCGGTTATAAATATAGATTTCCCACTTAACATAGAACACATTTAACTTGAACTATTTCAAATATAAAATAGAGATAGCTTTTATTAGGACCAGGCATTAAAAATTTACTCTAACCACTGCTTTACTAACAACATCCGTTGCCGACTCGTCCGGTTAAATACCACATCCTCAAACAACGACTGAACGAAATATTATTCATGACGTCTGATTACTAAGTGTATTACAATCCTTTTCCCCGTCTTGTTTAAAAAAGAAATGATGAAAAGAAGAAAATATTCCTCGGGGAACAATGTATTGTATACAGAGTTTAATAAAGCATTCCCATGGTCGCACAGGAAACAACTGTCAAAAGCTTCGTGCAGAATATCAACCGCTGCATACGACAACGCGAAGAAAAGGACAAGATAACGACACTGGCTAACTCGATTGATGCATACGAATTGGTAAGAATATTTATAATAATTTCTCATTACGTACCTAAAATAATCCACGAAATGTTTTTTTTTCAATAATAAACGAAACGAAAGCAAAACTATTTCCCACATTTATTAAAAACCTACACTGATGTTCAAGTGACATAAAACCGTATTATTATTTTATTTTTACATTTTTTTTTAACTTTTGTGTTACTTAGCCTTCAACTTATATTCATTATATATTATCGAGAATAAAAATTAAATGTATAGTATATAATGTATAACTTTCAGGAATTTAAAGATGAGGAAATGGAGCGATGTTATAAACTGTATTGCCAATTAGATCTGCAGGCCCCGATGATCCATATCATGTTGGATGTAAATCGGTGCATGATATTCAGCGGGGACCTGCGATTCAAAGATAACATCAACAAAGAGGCAAGAAAAAAGACAACTGAATCTTGTGTTCTCTCGGATCAGGAAAAACCCTGGTTACACCGGACGCGGCTTGCGTTAATTACTATATTAGCATTTTTTTATATATAATTCTAGTGTTATAGAAACTAATGCCTATTTAAGTTGAAATTAACTTTACTTCTATATTTGTATATATTATATAATGTATTTTTTGTATTTCTTAGCTGCTCGTTTGCGAATTTCGTACACTTTTAGCGCATGTTTTTTTAGCATTATAACTTTGGTTTTATATATGGAAATTAAAAATAAGTAATTTTATTTACAGATCGACGTGTGTGTCTTTTTATTCACGGATATGATGCTTATTTGCAAAAAGATGCCTAAAGGCAGCCCTTATAAGTACAAAATGATAAGGTAAAGTTTGTCAACTGCTTATCGATATCTTCTTAAAATCTTGGTAGTTTTATAGTTTATGTTCGATAATTAACCCTTAATTTATTGTTTTTAGACCGAAATATATGTTGGACCGTTTACACTTTTATCCGAAGTACAAAAGCGGCACAAAAGATGTGGTATCTTTAATATTTGTTGCCGTCGATGATTTTCATTCATCTTACCATAGTTTTACATTATCTGAATCCTCGAAAGAGGAAAAAAATCAAATGGCACTGAAAGTAAGTGGTTATTACCAAATAAAAATATATTTTTTATAACTGAGTATTTTTTTCTAATTTTTAATCATTGCAGACAAGTTTGCTCCAAACTTGGGATCACAAAATAAAAGAAGCCAAAATAAGCTACGAACTTGTTATTATTTATGGCCAGCGAAAAGAAGGCGTACCAGAATCCGCCGAAGACTCCTTGAAAATGGTATAAAAATTATTTTTAATCTAATTAAATTGGGAAATTTATTACATAACCGCATAAAATTAAAGCGTTGTTTTAAAAGCTATAACATTTTCCCTACAACTAGGCACAAATATGGAATACTTCAAATAATGCTACTATGCTGAGAATGAAGTTTTTTAATAGACCTTAGTATATCCTTCTCTGTACTGTTAACTCTTATGCATAATTTTACACAATTTTCGCCGCTGGGGTATTATAGTATAACAAGAAGTATTGAATTTAAATTCATATAAAATATGTAGTAAAAATGCCAACTAATGTAATATATTTAGCAGTTTTACAGCCATCTATCGACATAAGCTAGAAACTCTAACGGCACGCGACACAATGTCGACTACGAACCCTCCTTGTTACTTTAGACCCCTTAATAAAATACTATGACAAATATAGAGGGCGCCTTTTTAGAATTACTAAAAATATTTTTAATTTTTGTAAAAATTGCTTGATCGACTAAGTTCCTGAAGATTTTTTAGAGAAAATCATGAAAATAAGTAAAAATCTTGCTACAGCATAATGTGGGAATCGATAGTTAAATAAACATTGTTGGTATTTTTTAAGAAAATGAAGAAATCAATTGACATTAGTTTTTTATTTTATCAGAGGAGAATGACTCCAGAAGAAGTAGCCATTGAGAAGGAGGCTCGAGAGTGGGCAGCTATCATGCTGCACGGCAGAATGACCAGAGACCACGAGTACGACATGATGAACATTCCGGAGGACCCATACCAAAGTAATTTATCCATACACCCTTTGTATTATTACAATATTACTGTACAGACGAAATAATTATCTGCTAGTAAAAACAAAATTGCGATCACAAGACTACTGATCTTGGCAATACCAGATTATTTTTTTTAATATAACCAAGTTAGAAATAGATTACACGTATTAAAAATAAAGAAACGAAGGTATAAAAGTGCTACATCAAAAGAACTAAAAAGTGCACAGTCGCAGTATTCTCAAATGTGGAAAATTAATGTATTAACAAAATTATTTTATAGTAACTGAAGCCATACTCGCTGGCAACATAGACGCAGCACGACGCTGGCGGAATCCATTCCTTCGTAGATACTCTTCTACCACTGCTGGGAGTTCTCGTACATCCCGCATGTCCAGTCTCCAAAAGTCTGCCAGGTAAATACAACACCACACTCTAACACATGGAGTTCTGAAAACCCTCACTCTTCAATTATCAAGAAGGTCAAATAATGTCAATCAAGTAAAACTAAAATACAATAAGACTAGTGGGCCCGCCTATTCGTGTCCGCCTTTTCAGTATCTTGTGGTCTATTTCAGTCTAATATGAGAAAAAACAGTAAAACTATTTCCTTTATTAGAGATCTACTTAGTAATAACGACAAAAAGATATACGTAAGATAATTATTAAATGCTCCGACACATTTTTTAAAATTGTATTTTTCTTGGTAGTGCCACGTCACGCGACGATCCACAGCCAAGTACCAGCCGGGGACTGTACTGCCCGAGCGACTCCATTGAGATTCCCTTTGAAAAGTTGGAATCGGAAGGTATTACATTACGTTACATAACAATATCTATCGACACTTTTTGTCAAATTTCCATCAGTGGAAACCCACAATCAAAGAGACAATTTCAAAACGTGGATTACATTTTCGATGTTTATTCCAATAATTGAAAGCATGCACTGATCTTGTTTCTTTCATGATGTTAACGAGACAAACTTTCAGATACATTCAATGATGACATATCGGATGATGAGGATGCTGAGTCACCATTACCGTCATCGCTGATACCACCACCATATGTATCGCCTCAAATAAGCAGATCGCCCGTGCTTCAACCTCCAGCTCTGCAGCAACCGGTAATAAGGACAGGGGTGATTCACCAACTAGCGCTACAGCCATCGATGATACACGAAGCGATAATCCGAGGACCAACCATCCAAGAACCAATTATGCCTCAGTCAATGATGGAGGATGAAATTCCTTCGCTAATGGTAGAACCTTTGAATCAGCCACCAGTTATAGTGGAACCGGTCAGGGTATCTATAGTTGAGGGACCACCTTTGCGAAGTGTCGCAATTTCGAACCCGGTAGCGCAGTCTACGGCTAATCGGGTGTACTGCAATCCGAGACCACCATCGGAGCCGCAGATAACCCAGGAACCAAAAAGTCAGCATTCGATTACCCAGCAATCGGTAACTATAAAACATACATGTACCAACATGCGTGGCGTATCATCAATCATGTATTATAATAGTGTATGTATTATATTATTAATTCATTCATTGCTTTTAAACAAATACCGTCCCTACTCTCACCCTTAGATGTAAGTAATCTGTTTCAGAGGAGACTCGTAAGGATGCCGTAAAGATGTACAGTCACACAGTACGTTCTGCATACTGACAGAATACTGCACATTGCCAGAACCATTTATTATGTAATTACATTTGTCGTACTTTCTTATTCATTTGTTTTATTCAAGTTATTTCATTGGACAGGTGGCTGTTGGTATTCCAATACCGATTCCGGTACCATTCCCTCTACTACCCAGTTTACGCGGTGACGCCGCAGTCCTCGGCCGTGACGCTGATGACTCCAAGGGCAAGAAAGGTCGTAGAATTCACGTTCCACGCGCTGAAAGTGTCCAAAGCAACCGTAGCGCCCATATTCAGCATGTCCAACGATCTAAGAGCGTGCAAAGCGCACATAGTACTCAGTTCGTGCAGCATGCAGAACGAGCTCAGAGCGCTATGAGTGATTACAGTGCGAAGAGTAGCCAAAGTGAGCGTGCGGGCCATCGGAGGAACGGCCGTGGCCGACGGGGCAAAAGGGCTGCAAGCGCTAGCCCAAGCACGCTGCGGGTGATTCCGCCAGGGGACGGAATGGCATCGATGCTCAGCTTACCTGATTTGACAGTAGAACCTCCTACTCCACGACATCCTCCTAGGTAAATATAAATATAACTTTTCTTTTTACAACTACAGTCGGGTAGATCTAACTTAAGCAAATAAAAGTGACGTTAAAATAGATAGCTCAAAAATTAAGAGTATTTTCTTACTTGAAGGAATCATAAGAGAATTTTGCTATTAAAATTTTTTGACGTTCATTACAGGGTTAAACGAATGGTTTAATTTGTAGCGACGTCACTGTTGATATGTGTTACAGCCCGCAATCGGCTTCAGAGCAGATGTATCAAACGCACCAAGAGCAGTTGCTACGGAACAGGGCAGCAGCTCAGCAGCAACACTTCTTGAGCCCCGACCATCGCGGCACCAGCTATCCCCCCACCAGTCCCAGCAGGCATGACTATTTCTATTAATTGACTGAAGCCAAGTCACATCTCAACACCATCTTCAAAAATAACAGTGCTGTAGTGCTTAGAAAGCTTTAATTAGAGAATGTGCAATTACAAATTAGTGTTTCAATGTCACCTCAGTTTCAATTTAGTAACTGAGTAATGAGAACTATTAATACCAAAAGCTACAGCACGGCGCTTGAAACATTAGGCAGGAAAACCATGCTACAAATTTACAAGATACACCTAGTACATCTCTTAATAAAAAGAGAGTTGAGGTAACCTGAAATTCAATCATTTTGAACGTAAGATGGACATCCTAGTGCCCTAGGACAACTCTATAGTGGTCAGTGAATTGTAAAATATAGGTTAAACAAAATTTTGTCCATCTCAAGTTTTGTATATGTATGTATTGAAACCATATCTTCAAAGAGACTTATCTGACCGGCCCCCCGGGATTGTGAAATTGGTATAGACATAGGTGGGCATTAACTCTATAATCCGTTAATCGCTAATTAACGAAGTTAACATTTCAGTTAACGGATTGACTTTTAAGTTAACTTCAAAAAGGGTTAACGATTTTGTTAACTTTCGTTAAATCCAACTTCCGTTAATTTAGTCCGTTAATCGTTAACATTACCCACTTGTTGACTTACTATCATTTTATTTAAATTACGCGCCACTCAACGCTCATAAGTACGGCTATGTTTGGCGACTGTCAGCGCGTCGAATAATGAACGAATGAGTTGATAATTGACTTATGCGAAGTGCGCCCGCAAGCTTGATGCATATTAGGCCTTTACCTATGAAATTGTCGTTTTGTACGAAAAAAATTAAACGATTTTTTTTCATGTATATTTTACTTGTATTAGTCGAAGTTATCACCCATGCAATCATCTTTGCCAACGCAGTGGCAGTTTATCGATATCCTTCTTAAAGAAATCAGCTAGACGGGAGGCAGCAATTTCTTCAAAGGCATTTTGTACTGCCTCTCGGGTAATGAATTTTTTCCCGTCATGAAATTATCCAAATTCTGGAAAAAGCAGTAGTCTGTAGGCGCAAGTCCTGGTGAGTAGGACTGATGACTGACAGCTTCAAACCCCAGTTCTTGCAACTTCGAGACCGTCTGCTGTGCAGTATGAGGTCTAGCGTTGCCGTGCAGGAGCAACGGAGACGAGCGATTGACCAATGCTCTTTGGAGATGTGCAAGCTTCTCCATCATTGTGTTCAGTTCTTCACAGTACACATCTGCAGTAATGCTCAACCCATTTGGTAAGAAGTTGTGATGAATCGCAACAGCGCTATACCTCCAAACAGTGACTGTCATGTTTCTAGGGGTAAGTTTTCGTTTAGGACATTATTTAGGTGTTGAACCAGAATCCAACTTGCTGAGCGCTTGCTGTTTTTAAACAGAATTCATTTTTCATCGCTAGTAACAATGCGGTTCAAAATTTCTTCATTTGTGTATCTGTTGAGTGGTACAAGGCACGTCTCGACACGTACTTCGGGCTGGCGATCATTAAGTTCGTGGGGTAAGCACTTGTCAAGCTTTTTTACCTTGCCAATTTAACGCAAATGGACTAATATTGTTTAGACACTAACTTAAGCTGCTGCTCATTCAGCCGTAGATTGTGTATCATCAGCTTCCATAGTCGCCTTTAATTCTTACCAAGCATAAAAGATAGAACTAAACAAAATGAGCTAAAAAGTTAAAAAATGTCTTAGACAGAAATATTTATATATGTAATAAGTGTGTAAATTCGTGAATGCCATGTCATCGAAAGATAGAAATAAATAAATGTGCATATATTTCTTCTTTCTACTTGGTTTACCTGTTTTTCTCAGTCCAAAAGCAATACAAGTTTTATATGGTTAACTTTTAAAGATTAACGAACTTAATATTTTAATTAACGAATTAACGATTATAGAAGTTAACTTATAGATTAACTGTGCCCACCTGTGGTTATAGGCTTTGAAACCCCACTCGGACAAAGTCAAATAAAACAGTCAGTCAGATATAATAAATTTAAATTAATATTTATGCAAAAATAAATATTAAAATTAGAATAATTTGTATAAATTGTAAATATTTACACACTTTAGCCGACTTCGGCCAACTGCATATAACGCTATAAGTGACTCATCAACAAAACACAAATTTAATATATTTAATATTTTAAAATGAATATCTTGTTTTTTGTTTTTTTAAAGCTTTTTCATTGTACCTCAGTTAAAAGCAGTTTAATTTGTTTTTCCCTTTTAATTTGTTAAGGAATCATTCGTACATCTCACAGACATGTTTAATCGACACAAATTGCTATGAGTTTTTAGTTTTGTTTTTTATTTATTATTACTTTTAAGTTTGTTAAGAAATTTTTATTTGTACATTCGTCATCGATCAACACCTCAACGTTATTTGTTTGTTATTATTTTAATATTATAATATATAATATGTGTATATTTATGTAAATAGTAATGTTTTTATTGTTTCATATATGTATATTTATAACTATTTATAAACAATTAGTGTATATACTTAGATATGTAGATTTTAAAATTTATCCTCTTTTTCAAATACATTATTTGCAAATATAATGTATTTTATACACTTAGTAAAATTAATTAACTAGAATTAGTAGCCAGTATATATTTATTAAATAAATTAATTTAATTAAATGAAAATAAAAATTTTAAAAAGCATCTTTTTTGTAGTGTCTCGTATATCATAGTAGTTGAATCCAAAATAAGTTTGTATTGAAAGGAAGTTTTGAAAAGTTAGTAAATCAACGATATATTTAATCTATATATTATTATTATCTCATTTTCATTTTGTTATATACTATATGCATATGTATATTCTATATGGTTGTGATTAAAGTAAATATATATTAACTTTAAATAAGTGTTAGGAAAATAATGTATTTATAAAAGGTTTTTAGAATGAGTAAAATTGAGATAATACAAAACTTTTTAGAATATGTAAACTATAATGTAAAAATTTATGCTTGTATATATTTATATATTTATGAAAAAAAAGTATATAATAAAATTATTAAGCATGTTTGTATATACATTTAAACTCCTTATAACGCCCACAGGATAATTTCATATGAAACAAATGATTGAAAAATTTGGTAAGTCTCATATCAAGTAAAATGATAGAGGACAAACTCATTGACGAACTATGAGACAGAGCAGAAATAAAATATTTCCGTACACTTTCTCACGAGTCTTAATTCTTTCATATTTATACATTATTTTGATTGTGTTAACGTAAGTTTCCACTGTCTAAACATTTGTACCAAAACATATAGCTGTTTTTCAAAAGAGAATAACAGAATGAAAGGAACGATAATATATATTTTATATGGATGTTCATTCAGTGGTCATCCACGGTTACTTACGTCTAAGTTCAAGTTTTTTTCAGTAATCTATGCTAAGTTTCTTTAACATCACCCTACAATTGTTCTAATATTATATACTTTTGTCTCGTAAGTTTCTTTTTTAAGCATAAATTGGGCAACTATTTATTAAATGCCTTTAAGCTTATCACACAAAACTTCTCTAGTATTTCCTTTGAATACTTTGTTCTTAACTTAGGATATGTTTATGTTATCTTTTTATGGTTAATACAGTCTATTATATGTTCTATATAATTTGTGTTAATATTTTTAAAAGTTATTAATTTATATATATTATGCAATATCATTTCAGAGTCCATTTCCATTACATATTACTTTCAAATAAAAAGACATACCCTCATGTCCATGCTGTCATTCATGAATTAGACATTTTTTTTGCAAAAATTACAAAATCATTTCAAGTAAATCTGCTCATTTGTATCCTGTCAGAAGGTTGAGAAGATCGTTTACACGCCATCGCAGGTAGGTACAAAGTAATGACTAACATCACATCCAGTAGTCAGTTTCATGTTTGGGCTTTCATGTTTACCAACTTGCTAAATATTTAAAATAAAGGTCAGAATCAAAATCCTTACAAAAAGGGTTTGTCGCCCATATTCCAGAACCTTCATCAAATCCTGAATCATACATGTAGCTGCTATTCTAGTCACCTTAACATAAACTAGGGCCAACAATTCCTTCATACTATCACTGTAGTTTACCATTTCTACAGAAAGTATCGGATACCTTGGTTCTATTGCTTACATTGGTAGAGTTTTAACTTCAACAATGGTAGAGTAATAATGCTAGGGCTACTGCTGTTTGTATGTAAGTATGGCCTGCTCGATCAGTGCAATAACGCAGTATTAATGTCTGATGAGTGTGCTGATGCCCCGTTCTCTTCCCCACAAAATTCTAGTAAAGGCATAGGTGGAAGAAGATTTGATGATGGTATAGGAAAAGGGAATATACAGCTCTGTTCTGTTCTATAACTGTAGGCAACGCATCTGCCACTCATTTTCATGTCGATGATGCCTACGACCATCAGATAACATCAGATGACCTGCACAAACCACCATATTCGCATGCCACCATATTCCATAAAAATCATAAATCATATTAGTACTTGAAGGTTTATGCCCATCTGTGGACTGACACAGACTAATGATAATAATGATACAAGTACAATTTTTACATCTGTAAATCTCTCTGTTCCTACCCTACTCTATGAGGGGTCATCACACCAGGTTTGGTGCACCGAGTCGATCTATCTGACGTAAGCATAAGTGTGATATTATTTTAATGTTGCAGGTCGAATTTGAGACGTGGGTTGGCGTTCTCATACTCCAGTAAGAATCCACCACTTACAAAGATGAGAAACGTGACCAGTCAAGCTAATCTCTTAGAAATTATTCTACCATCATCAAGTCGCATGAGCAAGGTATGTAAATTTGAATTAAATATTTTTCCTTATCATATTTAAAAAAATATATAAAACGTTATTTCTATATATGTTTATTATGAGGTACTTTTGCGATTTAACATACTTCTTGTTATGAAATAATTTTTAATACTTTAAACAATTTTAAGTGTAAAGATATGTATGTAATACATGCTGTAAGGCAAGAATAAAAAAACTACTGAGTTGGTATTTATATGACTCCGGGTTTATTTTTCAAAATAAACAATTTTATTTAAATATAATATAAATAATATTATACAGCAATAAATCGATGCAATAAATTTTATAGTTGTAGTTGTATACTGCAATATCAGTTTTCATTAGTACCAAAAAACAACCAATGATTTAAAACTTTTTGAAATATTTAAGTGGTTTATAGGGCGTTTCTAATATCAACGGCTAACAGAAAAAACATGCGCGAAAAAATACCCTCTTGTCAGACAGTAATATCTATTAAGATTTATAACTGAATTTCGTTCAGTCCTCCTTCTTATATTTCATCTCACAAAATGATTTGATATCTGCAGACTATAATGATAGGCAACGCCTTTGTTTCGCAATGGATTGTCAATATTTGTGTCCACACATCCTCATAGATGTAAGTTATAATATGAGTAGTCTAATCTTAATTAAAAAAAACGAACTCGGGCTCTAATATATGAAATAGTGCAAGCAAAATCGCATGTAGAAGCTAGTCCAAGTGTTATGTAAGTACGTTTCCTTTGTTCGACAATCATTGATTTTCCTCGAGCTGAATTGCGCATGCCCGAACCCGTCCAGGCACCTAGAGCTGAAATCCAATATTCATTTCGACGGTGCGGTGCCTACAAAGCAGTCGTGTCTCGAATTGTGTTCCCTTAATTCAGAAGGGCGTGCCCTTCCTTTTCTTGGAGCTGATAGCCAAAGAAATTCCCTGAGCGAAGGATTGGCACGATGAATTTAAAGAAGCTGATTTTGTTGGCGAAGCTGCTTAAATATTTGTTATGGCGTCGATCACAGAGCGAGAGTACGACCCCTGATCCTGAGATGAGTCCAGAGAGGCGGGCGAAGACGATTGCTGGGTAAGAATTAACATATGACACCTTCAATGCATATTCTTATTTATTTTTTAGTTATTTAATTTTTTTATGTTGTTTTTTTCTTTAAATACTTTTCTTCATTATTTTATACCACGATCAATATTTCGTTACATTTCTTTGTTCCGTCATTCATTGAATGATTGAACAAAGAAACACATAACAAGCCGTTAATCTTGTTCTCAAACATTTGATGCAATGCTTATTGTTCCTTCATAATAATGTTTTAGATATACATTGAAATTTTGTTCAATCTTAATGCAATTTGAAAATATTTTTATTACGTCATCCATGTTATTGATTTTGCGAGAACAATTTGAGATGGACAAGATGGCTGCCAGGTCACCGCACATGCGCATCCTTGTAGTGACAGCCATCTTGGATGCTGGAATCTAAGATCCTTTGTTTGCCCTAGCGCTAAATTGCGAAACGCATCTATAAAATATACATTTATAAGAACTGCCGGTTTCATTTAATTACATGAAAACATTTCAATTTGTCATAAATGTTAGCGATTTTGCTAGAAGTATTCGATTCAATCAAGATGGCTACTTTATCACCGCACATGCGCGCGCATCCATCGATTTTGCGAGAACAATTTGATATGGACAAGATGGCTGCCAGGTCACCGCACATGCGCATCCATGTAGTTACAGCCATCTTGGATGCTGGAACTTAGGATCCTTTGTTTGCCCTAGCGCTAGATTGCAAAACGCATCTATAGAAATATACATTTATTAGAACTACCGGTTTCATTTTATTACATGAAAACATTCCAATTTGTTATGAATGTTAGCGATTTTGCTAGAAGTATTCGATTCAAACAAGATGGCTACCTTATCACGACACATGCGCGCGCATCCATCGATTTTGCCATTCCAATTTGTTATGAATGTTAGCGATTTTGCTAGAAGTATTCGATTCAAACAAGATGGCTACCTTATCACGACACATGCGCGCGCATCCATCGATTTTGCGAGAACCATTTGAGATGAACAAGATGGCTGCCAGGTCACCGCACATGCGCATCCATGTAGTGACAGCCATCTTGGATGCTGGAACTTAGGATCCTTTGTTTGCCCTAGCGCTAGATTGCAAAACGCATCTATAGAAATATACATTTATTAGAACTGCCGGTTTCATTTTATTACATGAAAACATTCCAATTTGTTATGAATGTTAGCGATTTTGCTAGAAGTATTCGATTCAAACAAGATGGCTACCTTATCACGGCACATGCGCGCGCATCCATCGATTTTGCGAGAACAATTTGAGATGAACAAGATGGCTGCCAGGTCACCGCACATGCGCATCCATGTAGTGACAGCCATCTTGGATGCTGGAACTTAGGATCCTTTGTTTGCCCTAGCGCTAGATTGCAAAACGCATCTAAAGAAATATACATTTATTAGAACTTCCGGTTTCATTTTACTATTACATGAAAACATTTCAGTTTGTTATGAATGTTAGCGATGTTGCTAGAAGTATTCGATTCAATCAAGATGGCTACTTTATCACCGCACATGCGCGCGCATCCATCGATTTTGCGAGAACAATTTGAGATGAACAAAATGGCTGCCAGGTCACCGCACATGCGCGCGCTTCCATCTACTTTGCCAGAACAATTTGAGATGAACAAGATGGCTGCCAGGTCACTGCACATGCGCGCACTCCCATCGATTTTGCTAGAACAATTTGAGATGAACAAAATGGCTGCCAGGTCACCGCACATGCGCATGTCTATATGAGCAGCCATTTTAGATCACTGGTTGCAAATCCTTTGTTGTACCTAGCGCTAGGGTGACAGTTGACCTGAAATATACTGATAGAAGAATACAATACCTTTATTTTTAACTAAATCGTTCTTGTTCATTTGAATAAAAATTTGATCGCGGAGATATTTTTGGATGATTTCTGATATTTTATGGCTTGCGCAATTTGCAATCAATAACGTGTACTGGCACTGCTGGGTGTCATACGCTACGAAGAGTTGCGTCGCTATTTTGATTTCGCAGCGATTAGAAAATAAGGCTAATGCGATTAAATATAATGTTTTAGAACAAATATAATTTGCAATAAGACTTATTGAAATCTGTACGGGGTATACGAAATGTTTGCGCATATGTCAAAAAAGCTCTCACGGTCAATTATGTATTAACTTTTTCAAAATATTTTTTTTAAAAGTGTAACAAAATGTTTAAGTATAAGTAAAATGCAGTGAGGTGAAATGCTACTGCGATTTTTTTAACTATATTAACTATACGTTTACTATACTTGTATACTAGAAGAAACTCTAAGATTTGCATTTTATTGAGCTATGCTTTATATAAAATTTATTTTTGTTTTTGTATTGTCTGAATACACCTAAAATGCTATTGAAAAACACCAAAATACTTATGGACTTCTATGTTTTGTTGCTAGGTCCGTCTTCCGCAGCGGCACGTGGCAGGCGAAGTTTGAAGGATGACAGATGAGGTTCCTGCGGATGCTTTTCCCAAGGCAAGAAGTTTTATTTATTACACATTGCCCTATTGCATTATATTATTTGTATTATACAAAAGCAAAAGTAACTTTTTTTTTAAATAATTAAAAAATATATATTTTAAAATATATTTAACAAATTCTCTATTATTTTATGTACATAACTAACTGGAACTTTCGTTTCCAATTTAGGAGCAGACGCAGTAGATCTGGCGCTACGACTGGCAATGTAACAAGCAATACTACTGGCGTTTCTGAGGAAACTGAAAATACTCAAGAAACAGGAACTCTTCCGGACTCCGAAGACCTTGGCGTTACCGCCGCTTGTGAATTTATGACCGATCCGCATGATATTCGAAAAGAAATTCTAGAGATCGTTGCTCAATACAGCGAGGCTCTTCACCTTGACGACATCGAGAGAGACCCAATTCAAACTTTGGATGATCTACAGCCTGAGAATAACGTGGAAGATACCAAAGAAATCGTTTTGCAAAATGTCACCAAACAGAAGATTCCGCAAGATGACACCAACGATAACTTCCAGCAAGATGAATGTGGAGAGGAGCACATACCAGGCGAAGTTGAACTTAAAGATCTCGTTATTTCTAACCAAATGATAGTGGGCGAGGCTGGGATTCTTGACGATCTTGAATTCATGGATGAGGAGCCCCAGGATGATGACGATGACGAGGAGGAATGACGCGAGGATGACGATGGGTTGCCTCAATGAGGCCAACCCCCTGAGGAGGAGGAGGAGGAGGAAGAAGACGATATAGTCGTGGAGGAGGAGGAGGACGAAGAGGAAGAGGAAGGGTGGATTTGTTGCCGATGGCTTTACAAATGGTGCTGGTAGATATTATGAAGGGCCTAAGTATTGACGTTTTATTTGGATGACAGGTGTAGTTACCAGCCGGAGTTGTTAGTGCGGAATTTATTGGTTCGGGATTGTGGGTATAGATAAATCGTGGAAGTATTTTGACTCGGAGCGGTGTAAGTTAAGCATACCTTGGACAATCGATCAATATCTTACGTTTGCTTTGACATTAATGCTCATCGACCATCGCTCCCTGTTTATAACTTTTGCATTTATCTATATCATCGTACGTAGTTCTCCTTGTATGGACAGCTTTCAGACTTAGCATCATTATGTGTGTTATTCGTAGTGGAAATTAATCCGTAATAAATCTGAAATAAAATAGTAGTTACTTGGTGTCTATGAAAATACGATATGTGTTAACATTCTAATAGTCATAATTTAAGAACGTTTTCGGTGTTGTTACAATTATAAAATATATATTGCATGTATGTGTAAACATTGTATTTCTCTGACGGCTAAATTCTGTAAGCTTATTGATGCATTTAAAGATTCACTGTTACTGTACAATGTCCGACTTTACTACATGATTCTCAGCCACATTCTACGCATTCTGATGATTAGGATTTTTGAAGCTCTAAGATTCTTGATACCTATATAATTTGTTTTGATTTCAATTTATATTAATGTCCAATGTTTTAATTTTACGTACGAAACCACATGAATTCCTAAACCCTAGACCAAAATGAAATTAATGTTTTATATTTATTTTTTTATTATTTCTTATTTACAAAGACGTACTGAAATTTTACATTATATGCCTTCGTCATATTATGACACAATACTTTACTACTCTTTACCAAAAATCAAACGACTATTTTATACTGTTAATTTGAAAATTACCCTCTGTGGTTATCTACTCTTTACATACTCTTATAATATATTAAGTGTTTTAGGAAAATATTCGTTTATAGAAAAAGAGAAAAAAAATCTTAAAAAATATATTGATGTTCTTTGTTGTACACTTAAGAAGTAGGAGGAAAATAAATGTTATTAGCAAAATAGTAAAAAAGATTAATCGTAATACTATCTTGAAATATTATAAACTAAATTACGATCATTCTTAGTAGTCATTTAAATGGATGTTTTAGATCATATAATTGATGTTTTAATTGATGTTTATCTTGATGTTAGTGTATATCGTTATATTAAAGTCAAGTAAAATTGCCACACAAAGACCTAAACATGGTCATGAAAATGTGACTTTCCACATACATACCATTTTCGAAACACACATCATTGTTTTGATGAGATGGCTTTGTACATGTGTTGGCAGTGGAAATCTATGTATTAATCAATCAAATCGATGTAAAATTTATTGAAAACGAATAGAATTCTACACCCGTAGGTATTCCTGTGCAAACCAATAGAAATAGTAGTTAAGTAGATGAAATCTTTTACTTCAACTCGATGTCTTCACCTGTAAATCTGATCTTAAATAAAGTAACCAACCCCCAAAGGAGTTGTTATTAATTTTCATCAAATTTAACTGTATTACCTCTAAAAATGCGCGAAGCTGTACTTTTCGATCCGTAGTTTTACACTACTTGGACTGTCTATGAATACGTCTAAAGAACTATTCATTTAGAAACCTGCCTAAGCAGAAGTTAGAATTAAGTATCCGATACGTAATTAAATACATATGTACTTATTTCTTGAAAATACGATGATTTCGTCATCTTTAATTTGTAGGTATCCTCTGTATCTAAACTTTCCTGGATTTACTTCTCAATATTGTCTATGGTTTATTTTACTAAAAAGCGATTAATGAAATATTCCCTTCTATTAATACTAAAATCCTCATAATTTTTGAGAACATACCCCTTAATCAACTTAAAAAATATATATTGTATGATTAATTAAATAATAGTAAAGTAATAAATTACCAAAATAATAATCTATTTAAACATTACACTTAAAATACATTGACGAAACACGAACCAAGACTCATAATTCTAATCATTTTTCATCGCAGCACTGGCCGGTTGGTGTAATTTGAAATAAACGGTTTTTACGATCCTTCGCGTACACAGGTCCCGGTTTAGTCCATAGCCCCCTCTTCACACATGGAAGCCAAAATACTACCAAGAATGCCGCAAAAACCATTCCATATACCATGACTGTTCACAGTTTTTCTTCAATATACTACACAAGTAAATTTTCGTGCACAATTTTATGCATTTATTCGTATTTTTTTATATAATTATCATTTTACTTCAACATAAAATTTAGTCTAAAATACGCAAATAAATTTAGCAACATTTTGATAGCAAACAACGTAAACAGACCTAAAATTTGATTATGACAACAAAATATAATACCACAGAGTAACTGCTTTGTTATATATGAAAATCACTGATCGCAGTATAAAGATCAGTGTGAAAATCTATAACATAGACCAAACAAAATAGATCGACAAGGCTGTCTGAACGGATGGGCATAAGTCAAACTAAATTATGACAGATTACTAGCGCCCTTGGCCAGCCAAAATTCAAATCAATATTCAATCCGAAACTGTTCTAAAGATAATCGAATATTCTTAAGCTATCAAAAAACTGCATAGGAAAAAAGAGACTCAGTACTCAAGACAATGTACACGTCAATTAACAAGTTCAGGTACATTGGCAACTTAAAATCTGTAATAAGCCCATCTCAGATGATGGTTGTCATAGGACTACATCTAAATCTGGTCACTGTAGTGAGTACTGACTCCCCGACTAGGGACAACATTTTCTTTTATATACACCAATTGTGTCAAAAAATCTTTAAAGCGTGTTTTAGAGCTTGATCTTAAACACGCTATTAAGTTTTTAACTGGGTAGGGGATGCCATCCCTACCCACAAAAATAAAAAAGCAACTTTTAGTATTACTATCGTATACTTCATTTAAATAATATTTCTTACTTAAAAATGTCAAAAACCCAAATTCCCATCAAAATATTAATGAGGTGTAAAATATACTCTTATGAGGGTTAGAAGTTAGATACCGCGCCAGTCACCAACCCTGCATTACAAACAATATTATAATAACGGTCTCCTCGTTCATTTCCGGTTTCCTTTTTATCCCGGTAGATAGCGCTCGAATAAAATCAATGATAATTTTTTTCACTTTTTACTGGATTCATTTTTAATCTGTCAAATTCTACTTTGTCTCTGGAACTAGAATTAATTTGACATTGACACATAAGCGATTTAAGTTTGCGGAGCAAAAAACCCGCACATTTGCTTGCCGTCTTTGCACAGTGCTACATACCCCTTGAATATAAGTAAAGTTGAAGTCGCTTCGATACTTTCATTCCATAAGCATTCCGGAATAGATTTAGAAACAATGGCTGAGTAAGTATTGGAATAACCTCAATTACATATTGATATTACCTTTTGCTTTTACGATTCCAATAGTCATTACCTAAGTGATTAGTCATGTCCAATGTCATAATTTTGCTTTACCGCTAGTTTTTATTACTTTACAGAATAACATTTAAATGGATATACTTTCATAAAAAGTAATTTATATACAGTTCAACAATAGAGAAGCATCTAAATTAAATATTACAACTAATTCGATAACGCTTTAATTACAATAATTAAAGATGTTATGTAGGCTTCTTCTTAAACTCTTTTGTAACTTAAAATGAATATTTGGTAACAGGCATATGAATATAAAACATAATAAGACTCTTGATTAGAAGTTTCCATAAAAAAAAAGTTATAAACTAAACAAAACTAAAGTTTTGGAACATGCAATGTGCAAGGTTATTTGAAGGTGAACTTTACTTAGGTCATTGTAAACCGTGCATGTACCTTCAGCAACTAGTTTAGTAGCAACAATATTTGGTTATGAATACATAAAGTTAATGAACATTTAAAAACTTTCTATAATATTATTAAAGAAGCAATTATGATGTTTGACATTTTTATTCTAAAATCACCCCATTTATGTGTACTAATTAAATGTAATTAGTCATATCACTTAAAACTTATTAAAGATGCATGTTCTACTTTTGCTATCAATAATAAGTTATTGTAAAAGCAATTTAGCAAATACTGAATAAAACATGAGAACTAACATCTATGGATTCATATTACATGTTTAGGCAAATAATATAACTAACATATTTTGATATAACATCATTGTTCAAGAATTAAATATATAATATTGTGTTTTAGACCCAAAGCTGATATTGCTCTCATCGGCCTGGCTGTAATGGGCCAAAATCTTATCCTCAACATGGATTCAAAAGGCTTTGTTGTTTGCGCTTACAACAGGACTGTTGAAAAGGTATTTGTTGTTTTAGTTGATTTTCATTGTACAAAAGAAGTCAACTTTTTGTGTAGAAGCAAGGCCTATACAGTACCACTAGTATTAAACAACTCACCGTTGATTCCATACAAAAGAAACACAACACCAAAAAAAAATCTTATTTAACAAAACTAGCTATACAAACTATTCTTTCAATATAACCCATTTGCAATCTAAGTAATTTAATATTGGCCAGTATCAAATGTGATAAGTATATTGGCCAGTAGCAAATAAATGCCTTAGAAATAAAAATCAAGTTTATTATTACACTTTGTAACAATGTGATCTAAATAAAATTAACAACAAATCCAAATTGCACATAAAAAATCAATATTTTAAATTCAACAGGTCGACCATTTCCTTGCAAATGAAGCAAAGGGGACAAAAATCATTGGAGCCAAATCATTAGAAGATATGGTACAGAAATTGAAGAAACCCAGAAAAGTTATGCTTTTAGTCAAAGGTAAGTCTATACAATTTTTATGTATAAAAGTAAACTTGAAGACAGTCAGTCGCACAAATGTTAATCTTTTCATTACAATAACAAGTTCTTATCTCCAATCATTTAATGATAATGAGTTTCTTTGTACTTTGAAGTACTATTGGAAACAAAGTATTGCATTACAATGTTACATTTTCATTTGAACGCATTGACTTGTAAAAAGTCATAAATATAACATTTTTTAAATAACCTCAAACCAGCTTTAAATGTTTACTAAATAAAATAAAGTGTTGCATTAAGTATCATTCCAAATGACCCTGATTTAAATTGAAAAGCTATTGTAATGACCTTACTTATAATTTATTGTTGAATGAATACAAAATGTAAGAGCCAACAAACATTTATTTTATGTCAATATAAGGAAACACAGACCTATTCATGGCTAGTTAGATTATTTTGTTTACAGGAAGAATTGCTTAATATATTCCGTGAGTTTGTACCACCAAAACACCCATAGAAATTCCTTATTTTTTTCATGGAGAATATGAATTATAACAATAAGCAAATATTCTATTTGGCTTTTAAATACACAATACATATATTCTCCTATATTTTCTGAAACCCCTCTAATGAATGTTTAATTGGTTTTATCTATAATAATATAATAAAGAGAAAAGATTTGATTGTTTTTTTATATTGAATAAACTCCGAAACTACTTAACTATTTAGAAATAATCTTTTACTGTTGGAAAGCTGTACTATCCCTGGGTAACGTAGACAATATTTATAACCAGGATGAAGTGCGCAACTGATGGTAATAGTTAGAAAATAAATTAGTAAAAGTAAAAACTCTTAAATAGATAATTTCTATTACAGCGGGCTCAGCTGTGGATGCATTTGTTAAGAATCTCTTGCCATTGTTAGAGAAAGGTGACATTATAATTGATGGTGGTAATTCTCAGTACACCGACACACAGAGATGGTGCAAGGAATTGGCATCAACAGGAATTCTATATATTGGAATGGGGGTAAGTGGACAAAGTTATACTCAACCTTGTTATATTTTCTATATAAGTAATGATTTTTTTGGAAATTGCTTGTGTGTCACCTGTGGACATGTATTTTTAGCATAATTTCTTATGTTAAGTGTGGGTCTTAGGTATATGGTTTTTTTTGTAGGTTAGTGGCGGAGAAGATGGTGCTCGTTATGGGCCATCTCTAATGCCCGGAGGTCACCCTGCTGCTTGGCCTGCGGTCAAACCAATATTCCAAGTAAGTGTAGTCTGCCTAGTTTGCAGGAAGCCTAAAAGATAATTGAAAGTATTGTTCCCACTTACTTTTTGAATATGTATATATCATTGACCTCAATTTGTCAAAAATTATACAACAAGTATGATAACTACACATTTTTTTTCTTATTTTTTAGGCTATTTGTGCTAAAGTGAACAATGAGCCGTGTTGCGACTGGGTTGGTGAGGACGGCGCCGGTCATTTTGTAAAGATGGTCCACAATGGTATTGAATATGGTGATATGCAACTTATTTGCGAAGCTTACCATCTAATGAAAGATGTTCTTAGTGAGTATTTTATTATACCATTTAATGATAAGGCAATTTATTGTCTTATCATAGTATAACATCATTGTGATTTAATGATAAAATAATGTATACTTAAATTGTTATACAATTTTGTTGTTGATTTTTCAGATTTAGAACAGGGCGAGATAGCACAAGTTTTCTCTGACTGGGGCAAAGGAGAATTGGATTCGTTCTTGATTGATATCACATCTGATATATTGAAATTTAAGGATACTGATGGTATGGATTCATTTTCATATAAAAAAATATTAAATCTTAATCATGTGACATTTGTGACAAAGTTTTGCTGTGTATGTTTGTCGGTAAAATTGTAATATTGAAATTAAATGCTTTGGCTAAAATTGATGAATAAGGTGTAATTACATTTGTATTCTTGTTATATTTAAAGATAGTTATAAATAAAGTTAATTTTGTTTCAGGTTCTTATTTGCTTCCTAAGATTCGTGACGCAGCTGGCCAGAAAGGTACTGGAAAATGGACCGTGATCAGTGCTCTGGAGTACGGAGTGCCTGTTACTCTAATCGGAGAAGCTGTGTTCGCTAGATGTCTCTCTGCACTTAAAGGTATATATAGTTTGTAATATTTCTTGGAAATAAATAATTTATTTATTTATAATTCGTTGTACACATTGTTAACATGTGTTGAAATATTTTGCCATAATAGATAAATCAATTAAATTATTTAATTTATTATATTACATGGATTGAATTGCTATTTATTTTAATTGATTCATTGTCATTCAAATGTCAGTGCTTAGATCGTAAGGACTTAACAAATATTAGGAAGAAACTTCAATATGTTTTTTTATGAACAGACGAGCGCATCAAGTCAAGCAAAACTCTTTCGAAGTCTGTTGTGAAATTTGATGGTAACAAAGCCGAGTTTATTGAACATCTCCGCAAAGCACTTTATGCCAGTAAAGTGATTTCTTACGCCCAAGGATTCATGCTCCTTAGAGAAGCAGCTCAGGTAAAATTTTTATAATACAACTAATTGCAATTATACCGAGAGTCTAGTAATTAATCAATTTTTATGTACTAACGTTAAATCAATGTTAATTTCAGGTAAACAAGTGGCATTTGAACTACGGCAGCATTGCTCTTATGTGGCGTGGTGGTTGCATCATCAGAAGTGCTTTCTTAGGCAACATCAAGGCAAGTAATATTATACATTTGATTTGAAATGTTGGCAACATTGGAGTACAACCATTGTCTTAGTGTATGTTACATAATATGTCATCAGTCACATATGGTACAGCAATGGAATTCTATGTTTAATAACACTGCGAGAGACAATACTATAGAAAATAAAGATTATCAAAATCTCATGATCGATGTTATGTGGTACATATAAAAAAATTTAGAGTAATTTATAACCTCTATCTTTTTTAAATAGACTAAAACCCGAGGTAAAATAGATTTAGTTAATTAACAAACATATTTTGTACACAGGAAGCATACACCAAGAACCCAGCATTAACAAACTTATTGTTGGATCCATATTTCTCTAAGCAAGTCTCCAACTCTCAAATGTCACTGCGGCGTGTGGTAGCGCAAGCTGCGCTGTCCGGTGTACCCTCACCTACTTTCTCCGCGGCTCTGGCATTTTATGATGGATACAGCTCTGATGTATTGCCCGCTAATCTCTTGCAGGTAATTTTATTTATAACCCGATTCCTACTGAATTGAAAATTATTATGAGACAATTTGATTTATAAAATAATCAAAATATTGCATAACATTTGCTCGCGGCTTCGTCCGAGCGGAAATAAAAAAAATCTTAAATAGTAGCCTACGTGTTCTTCCAGAGTATGATCTACATTGATGTTAAATTTCAACGAGATCCATCTAGCCGTTCTAGAGATACTTTCCATGCATCCATCCATCCATCCATCCATCTTGGTCTAAATAGCCTGGCTATAATAATCAACTGTTTTCTCCTGAAAAGGCTATTATTTAATATTTATTCTGTATGGTTATTACAGGCACAACGTGACTATTTTGGCGCCCATACATATGAACTGCTCACCAAACCAGGCGACTTCGTACATACAAACTGGACCGGCCATGGAGGAAATGTATCCGCTTCTACATACAACAACTAAACTTTTAATATTGCAACATAGTTTACGGATTTATTTTTAATTATTATACTTCTTTTGATTTTACACATGAATTCATTTATTTATCATTTCACATATAAAAAAAATCATCATCATCATCAGCTCACTATAAGTCCCCATCGAGGGGCTCGGAGCCTACCCTAAGTTAAGGGTGATTAGGCCATAGTAATGTTTTAATTAATTGCTTTTATGATTTTTTTAATATGCTGCGATATCTTTAGATTTATATTTAATGGTCTGTGGTTGTTCCTATGTAATCATTTCATAACATAATATAATAAGTCAATGTTTGACATGTAGGAATGGATTTTAATTTTTAAACTGTAATAACTTTAATTGTTCGTTTGTGACGTCTTTCAATTAATTATCGAAGAAAATGTTATTTAGTCGTTTTTCCAGCGACTACTGTTAAAATTACTTTTTTAATTAGATTATGTTATAAGAAAACAGTGACGTGACCTTAAAATTATGACTTTATTTTTTGTTAATTCAACGCTTTGTCAAAGATACGTAAATTCACACTGTACATTCCTATATTTTATCTATCGTATGTGATAAGTTATTTTCGGGTCCAATAAGCCTCAAATATATATTATATTGAAAATGTAATTTTTATAATTGTCTATTAAAGTTAAATGTGGGTTGACTATTCGGTTTACATTTATTGTGTTACGGATGTTTTGAAATATATTCTTTTTGATATTTGAATTAAATTTAATTGTCTCATTTATCCCCCCCCCTCCATAACTTTTTGCATTAAGATGACAATTGACATTTCTATTTGTTTTAATTTAATTTGGATAAATGATATAAATATAAGTATAGGGAATTAAGTTTTTTTTATTATTCCATAAATTGTACATCATAAAGACATCGATTTGGAACAACAATAAAAATCAAATTTTTAACAAAACATTTATTAAAAAGTATGTAAATATTTACAAAGGTGTTAAATCGGAATCTGAAAGGTTATAGGAATGGATGTGTGAAAAAATACATAAAAGGACAATTGGTTACATAACTATTAAAATAAATAGCTACTTTTATTACTAAACGAAAAAATAACGCTTTGTCGTAATGTAATGGTCGCCGGTTGCCAATTTTAATATGTTATATAAAATTTACATAAAATATTTAATATGAAATATTTTCAGAACAACAGGTTAACATACTATGAAAATTAATTTAACCCTTTAAATATAATTTTTAATGTACATTTAGTAAATGTTAACGATATAAATATTTAAAATAAATTATTTTTCGGCAGACATTAATTTTAGCTGAATACAAAAACGGCATAAATAAAGATTCCCGAAGTTCGAAACCAGTAGGTGCCGACTCCTCATGAAGTACGTGCCATAGACTAGCCGTTTTTATTTGAACATATTTTATACAGGGTTTTTACATTTTAAGCGAAATAAATTGTAGTCAGTATAGGAACCAAAAATATTACAATCATTGATGTAATTACAAATCAAAATATAAACGTGGGTTTACACTGTCGAAAATCATGTATAAACATAACTCTTCTCACACTCTATAAAAAGATAGAGATGAATATACATTTACACAATTGATTCTAAAGTGAAAACTCACAATTATATAAATTTTAATTGAACATGAAACATAAGTGGCATAGTGAGTATAAATTTATAGAAATGTAGCTGGGATACCATAGATAAATAAACTATAGATGGAGTGTTTCATACAAGTTTGACGTGACATGGCAACATTGTGGTATTAACCCCCATAAAAGGAATCCGGACACTTTTTTTTCTTAATTTTTATGCTCCGTATTACGTATCTATAGGGTATTTATCTATGAATATATATTTAAAACAAGGTATGTTAGCACACGTAATACTTTTTACGAATAAAATAAATAAGTTTGATAGATTACAACACTTTATCTTATATTATCACGAACCTAGGTGACACATAATTTTCAGGGATATAAAACCTAAACTGGTGTCGATTGATTTTCGATAATTCCTTTCAAACTGAGGCTTTTATATTTTAAACTTTTTTAATCTCTAAATATGAAAATTTATACGGAAATTGATAATAAATGCGTTGAGCGTTTTATGTTTGCCATAGCTGCCTTAAAAAGTACATTTTTAAAATTCAATATAAGCATTTATTTTGATTTTATATCCCTGATTTCATGTAAACACTTAAAAAAAAGAGAAATATATATAAGTTAGTTATAAATAGTTTTTGCGAGTTATTTGTCAAACTTCTTCGTACTTAATTGCTATTTGGTAAAGCACACCTTTTCCTCTTGTGATGCAAAAGTAGATATTACATTGTAATGTAAAATATGATGTCACCGACCGATCGTGAATGCCGTTTGTTTGTAATTTGCCTAGGCAATTTTAGAATCAATAAATTACATATATATTCTTTCCTTAGTGACGTGTTTTACTTTCGACAGTTTTTAAAAATTATTATAACGATACAAAGTGTTGAAATCTAACAGAAGTCATTTGATATGCAATTTACCGACTGCATACAATGTCTAAGCAAATTGGATGACGTTAACGATCGTTCGGTAACGTTATAAGCGTTTGAAAGAAAACTGCTTCCGTATACCCGTGTGTTTAAGTGATTACTACAAGCTAGGTGATTGCAGGGCTAACATAGACCTACAGGAATTAATCATTTCCATTACAGGATAAAAAATTATCAATGGAAGATTTTTAAGCCTTTTATGGAAGATCACAAGTATTAAAATGGACGACTTTGGAAATTCCAAATGTTGGAAAAGTTAATTTACACTACATTTTAGGTATTTATAGACCAACAAAGAAATCTGACACGGTGGGCATAAAAATAAATTACGATAGCACACTAGCGCCCCTATCAAATGTCAAAAATTGTCACATGGTTCGTTTCGTACTAAATGTCATGTTATGTTTTATTGTTAAATGCCATCATATGGCCATGAAGGTTTAACATATTTTTTGACAGCACTAACCGCGATAGCAGCGCCCTCTCACTGGGCCAGATAATCTTAATTGTCTATAGTATTGAAACCTGCGTTTGTCGTTCACCAACTTTTTCAATGATTTATGTATGAGATTGGTAACAATAAAAAACACTTCTAACAAGTCGTTGCTAGAATAAATACCAATGATATCGAGAACAGATATCAAAACGCGAATACATTATAAAAATATTCTCTTAATTTACAAACAACTTGTGACATCACGTTAGATAATTTGAAATTAGTTATTAAATAACTGTGATGTTATAATATTACATGTTTCATATATAAAATATGATAATTTGAACATCTATAGACTCATAGAATTCTTTAAGTTTATTTGTACATAAATTTCAATAAAGCACTTTTTAGTACCAGGAATTTTTAGCTTCTAGCTAAGAAAGATTTAAAATTTTAATATCAATAGTTAAAAATTACCTTTTAAGGTTATCGCTCATTAGACCCAACTGACAGCAATTTCCCGGTACATAAATAAGGCGATCTCGTGTTGAATAAGTCAATACCTCGCAATAGGTGATTGTGCAAACTATAGATAAAGCAAGCGTGGATTTGTTGCCGGGTAGTTCTAATAAACGTTGACCTTTAATTGTATCATTCGTTCTTCGTGTTAGACAACTTAGAGACGAGAGGGAAGCGAACTATTCGCAATTGGTTCGCGTAGTCACACACTATGGCGTCCTTGAGCGGCAATATTTGTCGTACAAATATGCAGCCATCGCTTTGTCCTTAAAATAAATATACATATTAATAGGAATGTAAACTATTTCACAATAAATAAAGTTGTGTAGAAAAATATTGTATAAAGTGCTCCATTATCAAATATGTACACTAACCAGGGGTTTCTGAGGCCGTATTAAAACATATTGTTATCTCTGTTTTGTCATTACAAACAAATAACGGTATATTTTATACAGAGATATTGGGCTCAGAAATCAACCGTAAGTCATATATTCGATTTCGAAACATTTTTACAGCATTACCATTTTTATTTGAAATATTTTTAATCAAATTTAAAATTCATTTGTCCATATAAAGTAATTTATCTTACCTAATAATACCCTTCTGATAACATCTCCGCTGCTTAGGTCGTAAACAGTGAGTCCGCTGCGGTCACCCATCACTAGTAGTGTGTGAGTCAGTGGTAACATGCGACTCATGTAATTCAGACCCTGGCAACATAGTGCATTGATTTTAAAACAAGAATTTTATACCAGAAAGTATCTAAGCCCGCGACTGGTAATTTTGTTACAATATTAAAGTGACCGCATAGGAATGAGCAGATAGTTAAAAATGAGGAAATACATAAAGAGGACATTTTCTTTCCTATAATTCCCCTCCCCAGCGAAATTAATTATCATTCTCTTCCTTCACGATAATATTGGAAAGGGGAAGGGCAGTATAATTTGAGCTCTGACACACAGACTTATCAAATAAAAAGCGCAATTCTTCTATGCGCTCCATAGAATAAAGTAATATTAAAAATAGTTTTCTCCATTTCACAATTAACACGTATTTTATATAACTAGAAAGTATTAAAATCATAACTTACGATATGTATGGAATTAAGCATGTGACCTTGAAACCTATCCCATATACAGAGACGTTCGTCTGCGCCTGCTGACACCACGTACGATGCGGTGTACGCGAGTGACGTCACCGCGCCGTCGTGCGCCTGCATACTGTACAAGCACGCACCTACGTACAATACACACAGTTAGTAAATTAAGAAAACCCGCAATGTACACAGTATAAAGATTAACATCAACACACATATGTATGGTCGAATAATAGAAATTAGAAATTATCACAAACGTATCAAAGCAATTTTAACTTTATAAGGATGTAATCAAAGTCTTATTGAAAACAGACATGTTCGTAACACCAAAATACTAAAATAATAAAACTGAAATGTTCCAAAATAAATCCATAGACAATAAAAAATCAATCAGCCAGTAAAATGTGTAAATAGTTAATAACATAACATAAATATAAATATTTGACTACGAATAATAGTTATTTTTGACATTAGTGGGAAAACAACCCAGTTTCAAATGAATGTTTCGACAATGGAAACTGGTGAAATACACCATAAAGTTGACCATATAAACTGAATTGAAGATAACTTATTTTGGGTATAATAAATACTAACCTGTATGTAAATCCCATACGCATAACAGTCCGTCTTGTGAGCCACTACCGGCAATAGTCGGCGTGGCGTGGTCTATAAAACAACTTGTTATAGGTCCACAGTGGCCGTGCAACGTGAACAGTAGACTCAGTTCAGAACTAGCAAACACCTGGAATCCAAAAAAAACTTAATTAGTACCCTAACTGCCCTCTAGACTTGTTCTACATAAAACAAGATCCGTTTAGCTGTTCTAGACATACGTAGTAGTAGTAACAAACATCAATCCATCTAAGCTAATGCATTTAGTGTTGAAGTTATAAACTTTTGTTTTTATCTCACCTTTACGACATGATCTTGTGCCCCGGTCAGTATGCGACCGCCTTCAGAATGCATCTCGGTAACTGGCTGCTGATGCGGCCTGCAGTGTGCAATACGTACACACACCACTTCTATTAAACAAAAAAACAATCTTCGCTAGTAAAAATAACCTATCATAAGCTTTATGCTTAGTTATAACTTTCAAAAGAAATAACTTATTATCTGACTAATTCTGAAGAGTAATGTTTTCCGCGCGTATTTATCTATTCATGTAAGCACATAGCCTAAACGATTAATACAACAGGGGCAGCACAAGTATTGCTATTTGTGCTGCTCCTGATTGTCAAGTAATCCGTTAGGCTCTATGTTTAACAATAATAACTGTCAAATTAAAAAGTATTAATTAACTCTATACCTTCGCCATCACTGTAGTCAGATTCGTATGAGAAACTCATGCGTGGGCGGCCATCATCGTAGTCAGTGCAACGGGTGCTGCGCATCGAATCTGCTGATCCGGTGCGTTTGTGAGCTGGAATACATATGATAACATAATAGAAATGCGAATGTTTGGGTGGATGGATGTTTGTTTAAAGATATCTCCGAATTGGCTCAACGGGACTTGATGAAATTTGGCACAGATGTAGAACATACTCTGGAAGAACACAGCCTACTCATTTAGTTTTTAATTCCGCGTGGACGGTGTCGCGGGTGACAGCTAGTTATCACATAAATATAAACTTACTTCTTCTATAAGCGGTACTGAATCTCCAATCAACGTGTGCACCAGATGCTGCATTGTAAGCATCAAGTCGCAGTAGTGTCAGATGACCGCTAAGGGAGGCGGCGCACACCCGCCGACCGCCACTTAGCGCACGCACATGCGTCACGCCCCCCCATCCACTCTTACTCTCCGACCCGCACCATATACACTAAATTCAACAAATAACCGTCAAATCTCTTTATGCCTATATATAGGTTTTACATAATTTCTGATAGAAATATCCATGCTAGTTGTGCCACTCTTAACCGATCTGATAAACTTGTAATATATAGCTTTTATGGTGATAGTTTACTGTATGACTCAATCCAAATTGAGAAGCTAATTTAATTCTTTCACTGTATTGCACAAATAACTGGATTAATGTAGAAGTATTCTGTTTTTTAACATATAATTGATATATAAGAAACCTAATTCTATAAGAAAATGAAGGAATAATATACCGATGTTGAAAAAACAGAACCCTTAAAGGATCACTTTGTTGTCCATCTGTCTGTCTATCATGACCCTTTTTCTCAAAAACGCGTAAAGGTATCAAGCTGGATTATGAAAATCTTCTTACCATTAATTTTCCAGAACTGGCTTCCCAGAACTCGAGCCGTCCATCCGCACAGCCTAATATAATGAGGTCATTACAAAAGTCAATACACCACACCGGAGATTCACTGAACGCTTTGCTTTTACAATCGTCTTCGGGCATTGGACCCCCATCACTACTAGTTCGTCTGTTCATTTTATTTTCATGCCTGTTCCTTAAATTATTTGCACTTTCAGCACTTGAATTGAAAACAAAAATATTTTCATTGTTTATTTCATTCACTTCACTATCTGTAACACTCAAGTCACTTTTGTTCACACTTAAATTGTTCGTATTGACGTTTTCTTTCGTCTCGCAATATTCCCTCCGACGATTGTGGTAGAGATCTCTGAAAAAAAATAATAATTAGTAGTCTGTGTGTTCTTCCAGACTATGTACTGCATCTATGCCAAATTTCAGAGATATCGATGCATCCATATTGGAGATACCTTCCAACAAGTATCCATACATCCATCGATTCATCTAAACATTCGTAATTATAATGAGGATACGATATACATTTATTTATCATTAATATAGTACATTTCATACCCAAAAAAATATATATACAAAACATATTATATTAAAAAGAGAACACCACCGGATGCGGAATCCCATGACTCAAACAACCAGTGGTCAGGGCTGCAGAGACAGGAACCTTCTCACGATGCGCGCGGTTTCTAGGATAACTGCCTTTTGTATTGGGCCCTTAATCCAAATGTGCAGCGAGAGCTTCTTGAGATGTTGGTGTATTTATAATATTATTAAGAAAAGCAAATTACAATGTTTTAACTTGTCCAACCTTGAAGGAATTTATGTTTTTAATAACATATTTGTTTGATTGAGTAGAGTGAGTGAGAATAAAGTGCGATTAGTTGCCTATTATTGGAACACTCGTATTTTTGTATGGAATTTTCCTATCAATTTTTTTTAATATAACGTGTTAAAATTATTTTTATTATAAGAATATTGCATTACTTGTAGCATTTAGCGAAGTTATATTTAGTTGTCTCTGCAGGTGAAATATGCGTAGGCGACTCTCCACTCGTAGCCCGGAATCGTAGTCCACTTAGATGATTACTTAAACCTCCTTTAAGACGAGGAAAATTCTGAAAACCAAAGAATTACTACATTAAAGCATATTTATACAGATATTTAGTCATCTTCAAAATATAATAGATTTATTGGTTTTAGCAAAACATAAAAAATAGTAACAAAAAATGCTAGATAGAATAAATTTCTTGATGATGAAAAAACATAGGAATAGGAAAATAATATAAGTGTGCATTCCTTGATGCTTTATGGAAAAATGATAGGAAAAAAATATTTAGATGGAAAATAACAGATATACAGGGATAGGTTTCTATTAACTAAAATTGTTTGTTAAATTAACAATTAGCGATGGTTTATAATATTCCTAATGACATGCATAGTAGTTGATTTTTATAAATAGTAGCGGATTACCCAACGCAGACTTTTCAATTACAAAAAAGAACACCCCTTTCTTCAAATCTAAATTCATGCGTCTTTTAAACCCTTTTTCCATCTAGCGATTAGCCGCGTGTGACAGCTATTTCATACGACAGTCGTGGTAGCTATTAGTAATAAAACAAGCGATAGCTATATATAATTGAAGTCGCATGCGGCTTTTTGTATAATGGATAAAGGGTTTTAGTATTGTGCGTTGTGTCCTGCTTTATGGATAATCCGCGATTGTTTATAAGTGTTAAAAGCGATGGACAAGATATTGATGTACTAACAGCAAACATGACAGTGAAGAGAAGCAGGTATTGCGAGCGCCATTATTAACATCAAACTTACATCAATATTTTTCGGCGCTATGTTATCAGGCTTCGTAGAAACTGGAATTAATCATTACAATTTAATACAAATATAATTTATAATTTATCTATAATATTATAAATACGAATGGATTCATGGATGGATTTTTATTAGAAGATATCTCCAGAAAGGCTGACATTTGGCATAGATGTAGACATAGACTAGAAGAACACATAGCCTACAATTAAAGTTTTTTTTCCGAGCGGAAAGTCGAAGGCGACAGCTAGTTAATAAAGATTAATTAACTAAGCATGAGTAGCGCTGTGGTTTGATACTGTATTTGTAATCTTCAGGCCCTGGGTTCGATCCTCGCTGTATACTGATGTTTTTGTCCCATTGTTGAATTTTTTACGTAAAAATCGTGATGCAACCTGCACATATCTTAGAAGAATTCAAAGAATTATGTAATGTCAATAAACGCATAATAGTTCAGCGTGGTTGTTCCACTAAATGTAATAAAAATGATATTAAAAATACCTTCTAAAATATCGTAAGAAGCATCACTCGTTGTGATTTTTTTTGGATTTGTCTTTTCATGTAGTTCCTTTTGTAATTTGAAAAATCTGTAAATGACATATCAATCCGTTAAGTTGGTACAAAAAAAATGCGTACATTCATTTAAAAAAAATGTCAACTATCTAGTTACTAAGTACTAATTATCAAGTCATTTTAATTTTAACAATACTACCCATGTTATACTAAGCTAGGATTGTTGTGCAACATGTTTCAAGGTACGTACGCATTGCGGTCGATGTTAGTGATGATTTCGCCATTATGTGAGTCCCACACCTTGATGTTGCTTTGCAGACAAGAGCTGACGATGGTATCACCATCTGTCACCAAGCATTCCACTTCTTGACTGTGCCCAGCAACCACTAGAGGAACCGCTTCCATTACCAACTAAAAAAAACGTTACAAGTAATTAACTAAAAAAAAAATATTTCAACAGATTTTCCATTGTTTCGGTGGAGACATTACTATATCTAACTGATAAAATATGTAAAATTAACGCTGTAGGCCTAATTCTTATTAATATTATATTTTTTTTTCTCTTAATTATTAGTTAATATTATAAATGCGAATGTTTGAATGGATGAATGTTTGTTTGAAGTTAACTCCGCAACGAAATTTAGCACACGTCTACTTATTAAGTTTTTTTGTTCCGCGCGGACTGAGTCGCGGGCTGCAGCTAGTATTCAATACTGTTAGACAACAGTCTATACCAAAAATGCACAGCCACGGTGCCATTACGCCGTGTGACATCTCTTTAAGTTATATTTGAAAGGACATAATATATGATTTTATACCTGAACAGCCGGTTGTTTAGCAATAATCTTCCTGTACTCCTCATCCTCGTTCCAAGAAGCTCTCCATTCAGCGTAATGCCGGGAACATACACATCTAGAAATTTATTTGCAATTACTTAATATAAAGACAAAGTGATTGTTAAAGTAACAGAATTATACGTAAAAAAAAGCTTAATTGAGAAATTTTGAATTACAAATGAATAATAATTAACTATTATTTGCATGTATGAACGTAGAAGAAGCGAGAGAGGTGTCAGAACTATGCCAAAAAAAAGTCCGTGGTCTCTGCCTACCCTATTGGGTGACAGGTGTGAGTTATGTTGTTATGTATTAAAATATATACCTGTATAACACCACCATCATGTAAGCTATCACAGCGACGCTGATTGTACACAGTATCGCTAGGAGTAAGATTTCCATAGGCGTTGTAGGATATATGGGCAAATCTGTCGCCTTTCCCCATTGGTGCGATTGACTTTTAGTTTCCGCTAGCTCGAAATCTTTGAAAAATTGAAAATAATACTTAAAAAATTAATAATAATTAAGGTTCTTCTATATTTATGATTAGGAACTAAATGAATCTGAGAAATCTTCACTCAGAGACAGCGATTATTCGATTGAATAATTTAAGACAATAATATTTGACAAAACAAAGACAACAGTTTCTTTTAATACAAACCTACAGTAATCTAAACTAATATTATAAACGCAAATGTTTGGATGGATGGATGTTTCTTTGAAGGTATCTCCGGAACCGCGGAACGGATTTTAATTACATTTGGCACAAATGTTGAACACACAGGGTAGTTATTGTTTTTTTTTAATTCCGCGTGAACGGAGTCGGGTGTGCAAGCTAGTATGATATAACTGGTACCTGGTAATATATCGATAGGATCTAACGCGGCGGCTAAAGCTTGCCATCGGAGTGGCGGGGGCTCCTTCTCATCTGGATGGCGAAGCCCCGCTGCCAATTCGGGGCTCACTCGATGGCTCAGCAGTGTTGGAGGCAGGATAACCGCGTACCTTCCCGCCACTGTCTCATTGTAATTCGAAAGTATGGCTGACCAATGCGATGGAGATAGCCTGAAAAAAAAATACGATTAGAATGGTTTGCTAACGATATTAAGTCAGACTAAGGGAAATAGTTTTTAAATTAATTAAATATTAATCCTTAATATATTCTACAGGTAATTAACTCAACATCACGAATATGTGACAATATTACTATTTACTAAAGTAAAAAATATGTTGATAATAAAACACCGGAAATATATTTCATATAATGACAGTATCTTGCCGTCTTATCTCTAACAAAAAAGTAATTAACAAAGACATTAAAACTATGTACCAAAGTTGTAAAATTACTACCATTTATGTTTATGTTAATCTGTTATTTCTAATTTATACGTAACAAGTTGTTCTCGTAAAATAACAACACAATAATCCATTCAGTTAAATTGTGATTAAGCTACTTATAAGTACCAAAAAAACACTTAATTTTTGGAACAAAAAAAAAAGCAATGATACTTTAATAAAAACTACGGAAGTGAATCGGAATCCAAACTACTGAATTATGAATAAGTTAAACGATAATTTACAAATTTGTACATCATTGTGAATGAAATGAAAACGTATGTATCATCAGTAAAGACTTCCTACAGACGACACTGAATCATCGAATTGATAAACGCTAAGTGGCCAACAATATCAGTGAGTGAATTGTTATGTTATGATCCAAAGTATTTTAGATAATATACAAGATAACACTGTCGTGAAACACACGTGTGCAATTTTTTTCTCTCACTGTATACAAGTGTCAAGGTTAGGACCTGTGTTACTTTTTCAATGCTACAATAATTTGCTAACGGTTATGTTAACCAAAAAAAGAGGATAACATCTTTTATTTTCAATTTCAAATGCTTAAAATTTACGTATTTTATTGACTTACAATATTTATTATTCTTCATATGTATTTTTAAACCAATTACACATTTTCAGTTTTTACTGAACAGTCGAACTGTACAGAAAACTAATGTTTCTTGTGCCTACGCACTTTCAGATTATATCGCCAGTTAAACTCTACAGTTGTCAGTTTAGTCTCAACAGATAAGTTTTACTGTGCGAATGTTCAGTTCAAACTGAACATATGAGGTTTTTCGTTACTAAAGATGGAGTAATATTTTATTATTAAGATACGGAAAATTAGAACGAAAATAGTGTTCAAACTTACCTAGACCAGGGTCGAGAATGTGGTGAATGCTTCAAAAAGATCGTATCATTTGTATCTATGGTTTTACCAACTTCTTCTTTGTCTATGATAGTAGAGAATACCAAAGGTTGTCGTTCACTGTCATTGTATGTCATATAAACGGCCTGTTTCGCTTTATTTCTTTCATAATCATGTCTTGCACTGTCATTGTCTTTTTCTGTTGTTATAAAATAATCTACTATACCAGAATTATATACAATCATTGATATCCAAACTAACATCCAAACCATGAAAGCGCGTTGGAAGAATCTTGTCCGAGCCCACATGTTAACAAGACGTATTCTTTTTGGCACTCTGTTGTCGTGTGCGCTCGCGTTTGAATTACGTTTCGCAACAACATCGGTCGGAGTATTATGCGCTAATCCATTTAACCTCGGATGAGATTTGGACTTTCTCATCTTCTGCGGCGTAATATTCTCTTCTTTATAACTATCATTGAATCGCCAATTGAGTGCGTTATTAGTATTAAAGTATTCCTTTAAATGTAATTTGTTATTTCTGTCCGGGAAATATTCCATTCGTCGAACATCTATACCTAGTATCGTCGCGAAGAACACCATTTGTACGAAATAATCAGATATTAAACTAACAATCATAAATATAGAAAACTCTTGTATAAATGGTACGAAAGTGAAGAAGCTGACTGTGAGTATTGTTATTTCTGTGAGTAAATTTTTAGTGATCGACCAGCCTTCTTTACTGAGACCTTGTGCGAGTCGAATTTTAACATCCAGCCGCGAGTCGGTTGACGTCACACTTTTTGTTAGAACAAGAATATTCTCTAGGCCAACGATAATCACTAAATATGGGAAGATTTCTTTGCCTTGTAGACTCAATGAAAATCCAAAATAGAAGCAAATACCTATAGACATGGATAGGCTACCGGCTACAGTTACAACAGCGCAAGCGGCCAAGCCAAACTTTGATCTGATAAATTCTATTTTCCTCACTGAGAAATACACATAAAGAAATAATCCGAAAAATGTTATCAATAATGGTATAGGTTCTCGGTAATTGAATTGTCCAGGATAATATATTATTGTTACTTCATTGCCACTTATCGGCGCTGAATCTTGATACAATGGATATAATTCTTTGAGTTTATGAATCAGCGAATTGATAAACCTGGAATAAAAACAGTATAATATAAACATGACTTATTTATTCCGCCGCCGTACAGTAGATGGAGAAGGAACCTCGCGGGAGCGTTTTTATTTAAAATTATAATAAGTTTGTGTCTGCAATCACCTTTGAATGCTTTAATAAATAATATATATCGTTAAATTTTTTTCTATTTACTTCTATCGAAATGATAACTTTTCATGGCACCATTTGTTATTTTTTGATAGATTTGTCAAATATATTATTGTTATACAAATATCCTTATCTTATACTTGAGAAAAATATGCAAAAAATAATTAAAAATAGACCCCACAAATTATTATGATTATTTCAAAATTAGTTATCATATACTAGTCCACGGAAAAGTCCCAATGAAGCTCCAAATTGAGGACTTGGTCGTGATGGTACGGGATCTAAAAATGTGGAGACTTTTAGAGGTTCACTTCGGGTTGGTGCATCACTCTTGTTAGTTACATATAAAGTCCTAGTACTTTATTAATGTATGGAAAATTTCAATCATTAGACTGACCTTTCATTAGCTTCTTGATAGAATATTGTAACAGCGTACTGCAATACACGTGGCCGTGTTCTCAAAGGATATCGTTTAACACCGGTATCACGGAGTTGCATACCAAAAGCCATTTCCGCAATCGATGCTTTACCTTTTTGCAGACTCTGTTGAATAAAATGAATAAACTTCAAACATAAAATCATTATTGGACATAAGAACAATTAATCACCATGTATTTAAAAATAAATATATCTGTTTGCTTCTCAAGAATAACACAATGAAACTTAATTGAAAGTAATTGATTTTTTTTTATCTTGAATAAAAAAAATTACTCATAAAACTGTATGTTGTATTTGTGTTTATCTTTTATACCATATTTAAAATCACAATATATAAAATAAAAACGACAAGAACATTACTTTTATTTACCATTCCTTAATGTATAAATTTAAATAATTTCATAAATAAATAACAATATTTGACCATGAACACGTATTTTTTTCTTTCATCTGCAAACCGTCATAATACTAATAATGCTAATGGTGTGAAGTTTATGCTGCAAAAACACATGCGTCAAGACCTTGTGCAATACGAAATACAGATATTATTACCATGTTTTTTGTTGTTCAAGATACAAATGAGAATACATTTTTGTAGCACTTATTAAACCTACCTACGACTATGAAGTCAAAGAGTCGAGTTTTCTATGTTGCTCACTATAAACAACTCCGACAAGATGCAGGAGAATAATCTAAATTGGTATGGTTTATTTAATGGCAGACCCAACAAGGTGAATAGTGTATAGTGTAGTGCTCAAAGATATGGGTGAATGCCATGTCTAAGATGATTTTAAGGATGGTGCGAAGCGAAACAGACTAATTAGGAAAGCTGACCCCAATACAATATAGGATACAATCTAGACAAAAAGAGAATAAAAAAATTGTAAACATACCTGATAATTATAAATGGTGTTGATTATATTAGCATCAAGGGAAAAAGTTTGTAGATTTTGTTGCCACAAGTTCGCAGGTGATAGTAACAAACAACTGTACTCAGGCATTACTCGTTCAATGCTCGCTTTGCTCTCGCGTCGTTTTATCCCCTCAATTTGATAGCAATGTTGTAACAGAGAACCTTTGCTGTGAAATTAACACATGTATACAATATTATATTAAAAAGCTGAAAATTACAATATCGGTAATAAAACAGTTTAAATAATTAATCCAAAATCTAGGTATAGAATGTTTGATATGATTAAATAGTTTAGGTATGGAAAATTATGGCAAATATCGTGCATTATAGACATTGAATAATGAAAATAATAAAAATATCTGACGTATATAAGGCAAATGCAATAGCAATAGTTAAATAAAAACTGTTAAATGCATGCAGGAAGCACTACCAATCTTTAGTTAAATAAATGGAATAAGGTAACACATAATAAACATAGCTAATAGATTAACTAAACAACATACATGAACTAACACTGAGAATTATCTTTAGGGACACTTTAAATAACATTCGCTATATTTATACAGCACAGCAAAGGATTACTCAGGCGTAATTACATACATAAAAAAAATACAAAAACAAAAAAAAAATTGCTTTTGCGAAGCTAATATTGCAATCAAGTAAAAAAAATTGTCGCTTTCATTGTTGTGATAGTAGAGAAAATTAGACATCAGAGACGGGAATAAATGAATAACCAATCAGATAAAAAATACTGAGCTATAGTTATTTTAAATCTAGAATTAAAAAAATCTATTATAAATATCTCGCTTAAGCTGCAACATTAGTTTCATATCTTTTATAATATCTACAATTAAGTTCAACTATAGTAATATAAACTGTGCTAGATTTAAAAAAAACTATTAAATTACGCAACAAGCCCTTACAATTAAATTGCAAAATTAATTAATTATAAATACTTTAAATTTTTTGTGACACATTATAAACTAATTAAAAACTATAAAAGAATGTTGCCATTTTTAATAAGTTTAAAATTATAAATAACCTCAAAAGAAACAATCTATATTACATGCACTATAAATTTTCAGTTACTTAAATTTTATCTAAAAACTTCAACATGTTTTAATAACTCTAGCTACATAATCTATTACTTTTTGATATTATGAATACTTACGTTTCAACATCCTCGTGATTGCGAATTGTTTCTAATAAACGAAACACCTCTTGCAGTGGACCTCTGAATGCATCCCACATTCTTAAATTACTATTCCAAGGTGAGACACCTAAAATCAATAATGCTTATATTTCATTCAAGAAATTTTGCATAACAATTGTATAACAAATATATATTTCAACTGTTATTTGTCTATGGTTTAAAGTTTGCATATTACAGCTCAAACTGATAATAATCCCAAATAAATGATTATTGTTTAAGCCTTTTATAAGAGTCAGTACTAAGTACTAAAATTGGATAAGGTAAAATACAGCATTCTGCAGCTTTTACTATTTATATAATCTAAATATTATTTTATATTACTCAGGTTTTTTAAGGTGAGAAAGAAAAAGTTCACCAGATTTCACTATAATACCAAAATAATCACTGTATATAGTCATTATGTAATAATTATAATGTTAACTTGCCTATTTTTAGTATAATTTGTTGTACATAGAATAATGGTTTCTCTTTGGCCCATATATATGGTAGTTTTTGCGTCTCATTATGAATATGGCCAATCTCCAAAATATCTAAAAAAAAGCCTTCAAATTAGCACAATAATCTTATGGATTAAAGCAAAGAAATAACATGATAAAGATAAAGTTGAAAAACAAATAGAAAACACTGCTATGAATTTATTGTTTACTGTGTATTCAAAAGTATTGGCAGACAACCAAAGTGAAGATTTCTCTGAGTAAACAATCCCTCAATGCTCATTCTGGGGCCTATGAACTTTATTATTTTATCACATTTACAATTTAGAATTATCATATTTTCTCACCTGCATAGTGACAATTTTTAGTGTGGCAGTTAGTTGGGTTTTCAGTATTGTCATGTAAAGGTATATTGATCACAGTGGGTATGTTCCCCGGTAAAGGCACATTCAGTAATGGATAGCTGTAAACAGAATAGCATATACAACTGACTAGTCAAGGACAATATATCTTTATTAAACTACAATAAAAGATACCTACCAACACAATAAAACAACGGAGATGGCGATTGTTATCGCAGTAACAGGATAAGATGAACAGAACAAACCATAAGTATAATATATTTGAGCTACTCTTTCGGGTAGTGTGGCTCCTGCCATAGTTATCGTAATGTTTATATATTTTCTAAACTGCGTGTTTAATTAAAGGAATTCACGAACCCATTGCACTTAAGTTCACGGCACAAATTCAACAGGGAAAACTTATACAAAGTATTTTTATCCGATATTAGACATGATTCTACCTCTTACATGTCTTGAAATATTAATTACGATTAATCCGGTATTAAACATTATGTATCAACATGCCGCTGTCTAGTATTCACTATTACATCAGTCATCAAACCAACCACGCAATATTGACAGAATTACAGTTCTATTGACGTTTGACACTTCATGTCATAAATAATTGCCATCGAAAAAAATGATTTGCTCACAGATTAAACAGCGAACTGTTTAAATTTACTGTCTAGTTTTTTTTTCTTGAGAAATCTAGCATCCACTGAACTGAACACCTACCAATATTTCAACTAAAATTGTTGTGGTTTATTGTAGACCACAACTGTAAGCGATCAAACTTTTTGTCAAACATGTTCGCCAAATGTGATATTATAACATATAATACATACGCCTTGTAGAGTGTATGTATATGTCCATATTTGAGATGTGTGTTGAATGTCTTGATCGAGCCTGTCAATTATGTTGGATTATTTAATAGCGCCGTTTAGCGGTGAAAACAACAAATTACATAAGCATTATCATCGTCCTCGTCGTTCATTATTTTCGTGCTTTTCATTACCGTTAAAAAAAGATTAGCCTAGATGTTTCGACAGCGGTAACCCACGCCTATCCTTCTTGCTAGTTTCTATTTTAGTTGGTTAAAATACGCAAAGGTACTGACTCTTATGACGTCTGCATATGAATCATTGATCATTGAAGGGTCAAACATAATGTTATGTATATGTAACATGTTTACAAATAGGGTGAGCTGCGAGGGCCTGCTCTCTGCGCTGTTATATTACATCACGTCCGGACAGACACTAATATGTATCGTTATAAAACAAACTTGCTAATATTATACATGCGAATGTTGGGATGAATGGATATTATCTCCAAAATGGCTTCATGGACCTAGCTGAAATTTGACATAGAGGTAGAACATAGTTTGAAAGAACACATAGGCTACTAAGCAAGTTTTATTTTTTAAATACGCGCAGACGGGCGACAGTTAGTCAACGTATAAATAATAAAGTTATTGCGTTACACACTGCCAGAATCAGGGTCTGACTCTTAGAGTGTCTGTTAGGTTAGTAGGTACCTATAATATTTGAGACATTGTAACTTAAAAGACGTAGCCTATTAAAAAGCTTGGTGTATATCCATTCATATTACTTTATAACGTGTCCAAGGCGTTAAGACTGATATAGTAGATAAATATATTAAATATCAATATCTGTACATATTAACTATTAATATAGACAGCTTTAATTACAAAATCCAGCCATTTTAAGCTATTAGAAATTTCGAATACACCGGATACACATATATTGGAGTATCGAATATTCCATGTGTAGATTTCCGATGTATTAATTACAAACAATTTAGCTTCAAGATAAACCATTGCAGCTATGTTCAATTCCTGTCTAGTAGTAAATTCAGTTAAAATTAAATCTAAATAAAAAGGATAGCGTCCAAAGAGATCATGATGACGAAATATAATTTATTGAACGAATGTTTATTTTCAAGGAATATAACAAAAACAATACTAGTGGTATGTCATTAAAACTAAGATTTTTAGTCATAAAGTGTACTTAAAAAAACTAATTGTAGTATAATACATAATTACAATAACATCAATAAGCTTAGCGACGTCGAAAAGATATCAAGGAAATTAATGAAAACCCCTACAGAAATGTAGAAACGTTTAAAGCGTTTTAAGTTTAGACAAATTAGTACTTAGCGAGGGACGTCTTTGGGAACAACACTTGAGTGTAATATTAAAATCCAAACTGTTTTGTGAGAATAAGACGAGGCTACGAAGGCTCAGTAAGCGCCTTATCGCGAATGTTTCTCTGCGGAAACGCCGCGGCCACTTGCAATCGTCTTCCGCTAAAAGCTGCATAGAGTAGTCATTATATTAATTTACTTTAATTTCCAAAAATAGCTGTAAAACGCAACATCAACATCAAAAATCAAAGCGGGTACTCATATATAATTCTCACAAGATAGACAAATATTATAATATATCATAACATTCAAACACAAAATTGATTGAATAACTGAAACCAATTTCTGGTTATAGTATTTATTTTACTTAATTCGACATGAGAATAATAAAACACAAACATTTTACTTTCGGTTCTAATGTGGCTTTTTATTAAAATGAAATAGTAATAAAATTTATCAAAAGCTCTATGTATTTCTATGTTCTGGCTACTTACTTTTTAACAGCGTTAATAACGGTGGAATTAAAGCACGAGAGGCCGCCGAGGACGATTTAATTAAACCTTAACGAAGATCCCTCCTCCCCCCACACCGCGCCACCTTTACCTGTTCACTGTTCCGTTTCATTTTTGAATCTATTTCCACTAAACATTAAGCAAACAGCTAAATTGCTAACGACATTCTTTACAACCGACGGCACGGCATTCTCGTTTGAAAGAAACATATTGTTACAAAAACAAACAATACTGTTAAAGATAGAACAAAGACATGCATACATCCTTGACTTTTTATATGTTTAATTTAGTAATTAAAATAACTTGAACATCTTCCAACTCTAATTATTACTTTTGTAAGGTAATGCATATTATTCGCGTTCTAATAATACTAATAAGAGCGTCGGTGGTTCAGAGGTCAAGCACTTGACTTGCAATCTGCAGGTCCTGGGTTCGAATCCCGCCATGTATCAATGTGTTTTTCCATTTCCGATTTACATATGTACATTTATCCGACGTTCTTATGGTGAAGTAAAACATCGTGATGCAACCTGCACATATCTGTAAAGAAATTGAAAGATATGTGTGGAGTCAACCACCCCGCACTTGGCCAGCGTGATTGACTATGGCCTAATCACCCTTAACTTAGGGTAGGCTCCGAGGCCCTCGGTGGGAACGTATAGTGAGCTGATTATGAATAATACTATATTGCGCTCTAAGTCGTTAATAGAATGATCTATGAAATATGTAGGATTTCTTTCCAGTTATATGACATTAAACACTACTTTTACATGTTTTAGACTTAATATGTCAATTACAAAGTTACTACGCGTTTTGAACATTACATTAGTAATGTAGTAGTGAATAAATGTTACTAATCCGCTTGTAAAAATGTAATATAAATGTTGTATTACAAAATATTGTAAAATTTATGCACTTATGATTAGGAATTAACGTTGAACATGTGTTAGGTTGTGGTCAAATGATTTTCAACGTTAACCCTCGTAACGTGATCCGTGAGTAGTAACTCAGATGGTCGCAGCGACGTATAATTGCTTACATTTGACGCCGGTCTGCGTCACTGATAGCCAGCGCCTGATCCCCCGTGATTTACGGCCTGCCGGTCCGCTAATGTGCACACAGCCTTACCGCAAGATGCGAAACCCGTATACATAGCACCTCTATATTACTAAAGTAGAAACAATCTCTATGTTCATACGGTTCAAAAGGTACGTAAATTAAAAAATGAGGTAAGTATATCCTAGATGTTTTCATATAGCAAGAGGGAAATATAAATTTTAAGGTATTTATATCGATATTTTCCAATATAACATCTATATTGTTGGTTAAAGTTTACTAAAATAAGGTTATAAATTCATTAAAATAATTCTAACGACTATAATCATTATTATAATGCTTGCTGTTTAAGAAATTAATATCGTAAGCCATCCTTTTTTAATATTCTACTTTTTGTTACAAAGCTCCAAACAAACTGTATCGTTAGAGTATAGAGATGTTAAAAAAAATAAATTCAACGTTTTCATTAAGGTGAGACTTGTTCATTTGCAAAATGATAAATATGGCATAAATTATTTCATTTAATATTCAATTTCGTTCTTTCGCCGCTGCCTCGGATATTATGAGAGAGCAGACACTTCGTCGTCGACACCCTTTTTATATTTTTTTATCCGTAACGATACTGTTTGGCTTCAGACACTTAATTTTGAGTTCAAACATAGGGGGAGATTCGTTCAAAAGAACACTTGACAAATCCAACGTGTGCACCTGAGGTTATAATTCTCAAATATATTGCTGCATCGGTGATCCATTCATCAAATAGATATGTAAGTAACTTGTCACGAAACATTTCCATTTTGTGCGTAACATACAATTTCAAGACACAACAATATGGTGCCTTAACTCGGTAGTTAGGATGTTTACTTGTTACAAGATTCCATATTCGATTTTAAAATTAAAACTAGACTGTTTACACAAGTTTAGTGTTCCAAATTTTTTTCTATTATTCGATTAGTAAGTTTTAAATTTTAATATAAGGTCGCCATTTTTTATTACTAATGCTAGCGGTCGCCCATGGCCATAGCGTAGAATAATTGAAAAAGGTAGTCTTAGTATCTCCACAGAACTATGGTACCTTCCATCTGTTACGGAGATTACGCGAGACAAACATTGATTTGCGGACAGACAGATAGGCGAACACTAACAGACAAACGGAAATTTAAAAAAATAATTTTCGTGATTAGTAAAGCATCACGCATACACAAAATATGTTTTATCTATAATATTTCACTCAAACACTCCAATTTCATTAACTGTATAGATAAAGATAAATAAATAAAAATAACATTAACAAGTTTTAGTGTTACGTATTTCTTGTTAGGTTTTCCACTTCGGGTACACTTAATAAAGTTTCATGCGATGGTCCTTAAGTCTGGCTTGTCAACAACGGATAGTTTGCGAAATTTACGATGTGTTATATTATAATTTAGTGTCGCGCGGCAACAGTAAAGTTGGGCTTAAAAGATCAGGGCGGTTGCCGATCATGGCCATAGAAAAGCTGTGCCGGCGGTAACACGCCTTTGCCCTTCGTGGGACATCGTTGATTTAACACAATATTATTTAATAACATAATCAAAATAAACTTTTTATTGTGATATTTCCAATATTAATTAAGAAAAAACTCTTATACTGATTGGGACCACCATTGTTCGAACCTTATTAATAATTATCAAACAATCAAAAACTTTATCAATCAATTGCAATTACAAGTAACTTTTTAAAATGTTGTGTAATCTTATTATTTATTCTAATTTAAAGTAACACACAATATAAAATATTACACTTAACTTTTGGTAGTAGCTCCAAAATTTGCGCGACAAAGCCGTTACCGCCGTCGCTAGAC